TCTTGGCTGGGTTGTCACGCAGAGGTTGACGTCCGGAGCAATGAAGGAGACTAAGGACCTCGAACTCCGCAAGCTAAAGAGGCGAAAGGGACGGACGGGAAGCATAAAGAATGCCGATACCACCCTCTTCATCGGCCGATGTGTTTGGTTCCGGGAATAATAAGGTACAGCAGAGAGACCTGTCCGGCCCACGGAAAGTTTCACGCGAAAAAACAAGCTTGCGAGCAAGGCGCGGAGGAAGAGCACAAGAAGGAGGGCGCCTGGACGTGGCCGCGGCTTGCGCTCTGGGACCTGAAGCCGAACTGGTTCTTGCTTTGCTGTTTCCAAAGCCATCCATCTGCAGCAAATAACAGTGCAGCAGTGCATTGCAGCAGCAGCAGAAGCAGAGCAGTGCAGAGCTGGAATTTCCTTTCCAACCACCCCCTGGTCGAAAATGACATCACTTCCCGGAGGTGACGCTAGGCCGGTTGTCTGCAAGGGTGCGCCCCTGCCGATGAGGTAGCTTCCTGGTCTGTGCGACGGGATGACATTGGCTGGGCCGGGCTGGCCCGTGCCAAACCGCCCAGAGGGCAATCTGCGAATGGTCACGTCCGGAGACTCTCCCCCGGTGGCTAGTTCGAATTAAACCGCCACAATCCCGTCCTGAGTGCTTCACTTCAGGTTTTTGTTCATTTCTGGGCAACCAACGTTACCTCGTTGACAACACATTGCTTTCATTTCAATCGAATCACATGGACGATCTACGGTGAGACAAGTAAGGTACAGCATGGCGGAAGGTACGCAAACCGGCCCCCCTCAACCGAGATGAGATGGTGAGACTACGTTAGGATTTGCCAGCTGTTTCCTACATGAAGCCAAATTGGGCTCGAGCCCCTTGAACCGCTGCGTCCTCCAAACATGCACATCTGGAAGTCCGGATCTGATTGCACATGAGCTAAGGCACTGGCGCCACACTTGTGCTTCGGGTGTATTGCCTCGACCTCTCCTGCTCCAATAGATCGAGGATCTACACCAAGATCGATGGTGCACAGCCACGAATCATTCGCCACAGTCCGCGTCTATCTACCTGACGGCATGTCGCAACCGTGACAACGTTCGCAACGTCCTCATCCCCAGAACGTCCAAGTCGGCCGTGGATCGTCAGAGCAGGCGTTTAGGACCATGCGGCTTTCGGGTCAAATATGACGGGCTTCTAGACATTCCCCCTTCCGCACTGACGCCGTCGACGCCATCTTCCGCTCAAGAATAGCGTGAGTCCGCAGCGGATAAGACGACACGTGTGGTTGCCTGTAGTGGAATGCATTCCATGCATTGTAGTGCGAGTTCGGTGACGGGTGGTCTCTCGCACTTCAACGCGGCCCGCTCCTAGACTCTGATCTTTCCTCTGATAAACTCTGACGAAGAGACGCCACAAAACATCACGCCCAGCTAGCAGCATATTGGAAAGAAAATTTTGTTTTAAATTCATACAGCTGCTCGTTGCTCAGCAGCCAAGGTAATTCGTAACTCATAAGAGACTCCGCCATGAACCTACTCCCGAAAATGCAAAGCCCATACCACAGAGCATCCCGGCTTACCCGCGCCGGGGCTACCCATGATATCCAGCGTCCAATGTACAACAACAGCACCTTTTACTGCAGAGGCAAGCTCTTCAACCGCATCGTCAGAATGTCGAGCTGTGTCTTCACCTCCTCACCCTGGCCCTGATCGTCCACTTCCTTCTTCTCAAGGGCCGTCTGCAAAGTCTTGACGGCGTGTAGCAGAGGCTCAACGTAGCGCTGCTCCACGGCCCCGGGCATGCTAGCCGGCACCAAGTGCTGGAAGCTGGTACCAGCAAAGAGGAAGTACGCAAAGTTGGCCACCTGCAAGTGGAAGGGGAAGTTCTGCACCCAGTATTCCCAGATTTCGGGGACAGATTGCTCTTTGAGGAATGCCATGTTGGGGAATAAGACATACTGCAGCGTCTCAACTGCATCTGTTGTCGAGAACCTGTTTGTGAGCTTGCGTTTTTGGGCCACAATCAACTCCTCTCGCAACCACGTCACCGCAGAGGCCTGCAGGGCGGAAAAGATACAGTTCTCGAGGAGATCCTCCAAGATCTTGAGCCGGTCGCTATCATCGGGGTCATCGTGCAGGACGAGGCCCGCGAGTGTTGTCGAAACATTTCGAACTGATAGTGTCGGGTGGAACACAGAGACAAGTGTGAGGAGATGGTGGTAGGGCATGAAGTCGCCTTCTGACGGCGAGATGCGCTTGTAGTTCTCTAGCCAGAGTCCCATTACGACGAGAGCCTCGGTGGTGCCAGGATTTCCCACGATGCGCGACTGCGGGTCTTCGCCAAAGAAGTTTTCGAGGAGCTTGACATGATCGGGGAACATGGTCATCTGGACCTGTTCGTAGTCCGCATCAAACACCTCTGCTGAGAAGAGCCAGTATGCAACCAAGCACCAGACACCTCCGGTGGAGAGCTTGATGTTGTCGGGGCTGAGGTCATCGGTCTCGACTGCCAGCGGGCTGTTGGGGATAGAGCCCTCAAAGATGTCCTTGACGGAAAGAGCACGCACTCTGTTTAAGCCGAGATCTCCTGCAAGTGCCTGGGTTATTTGTTAGCAAGTTCGTCCGTCCGAGCAACATCAGACGAATGTACATACGACTAATTGGCCAACCAGAGCGTCCCTCGCCAAAAGATCACCGTCCTCCTTAAAGGCACGCAACACGCTCTTGCGCATCACGACACGCTCTGGGTTGTAGAATTCCAGCAGGCGAGAGGCCCATTCCATGCCGGTACAGTTGACGTAGGCCTCGATGATGCAGGTAATGAAGGACTGGAGCAGTCTCTTGGTCGTGTCGGGGTCCGTCGGCGCCAACTGCTGCTTGTGTGCGGCCTCGGGGTCCGGTGCGTGTTTTGTGGGATCGCTCTTCGTAAAGGGAGTGTCGAGCTTGTTGCTGGACTGACGGGTAGGGAGCGGCGGGCGCTTATCGCCAGAAAGGGAGCGGACGAGGGCAATGACTGCAGCCGTCATTTCGGGATTGCGGGGATGGTAGGTGCGGTAGACGCTCTGAAGGGTCGTGTGAACGAAGCGAGAGGGGCGCGCGACATTCAATCGCTTGTGCAGAATGCTCAACATGCCGACCAGGTGAACGAACGTCGCCGTCGTCGCGGGATCGTCTTCCTCGTCGGTCGCCTCTTCGACAGTCTTTTCCAAAACTTCGAGGACCTTGAGAATGACCTCGCGCGGGTTGCCCAGCTGAGCAATGGTCTCGAGGCACTGCTGGCTGCCCTGGACTGGCACAAGCATCTCGACCAAGTCCCATCCGATGTCCTGGGTGAGCTGAGTGTCTTGGAGGATTTCGTTCAGGTCAGGCAGGATCTCGGGGGAGAGGACCTCGCCAATGATGGTCAGGTAGGTGAAGGTGTCTGTGGCGGGCGGCTTAGACTCGCGCAGAGCCTGGATGCCGCTGGGCTTGTCGGCCATGGCAAGAGGAGGATTTGTCGCTTCAATCATGGTGTTCAACTACTCAAGTGACCTCTGTGACATTGGAGGGGCTGGTCGATGGTCGTTGAAGAAAAGTCTGGGCTGATGAACACTCGGCAGACGACAGAAGGAGAGGGGCAGATGGGGTGAAGAAAAGAAGAAAAGAGACTGCTGCGCCAGTTATTGTTTCGTCATCGGAGCTTTCAGCACCTGAGAGACGGAAGGGAAGGCGTGAGAGAACACTTCAGACCTAGGCAGGCACGGCAGGGTTCCAACTCCAATTTCTCTCCACCAGGCAATATAATTAGCACCTCACCAGCAGCTCACCACTCCACGAAAGGGGGGATCGAGGCGGGCGATTGCAGTCAACGACAGGACCAGAAATGCCAGCAGTGGGCGCAGCAGCAACCCCGCACTAGCCCTGATTCAGAGAGGATCCCGCTGGAACACTTTACAGGTCAGGTTCACCCCACTGGAATCTGCATTCTGAAGAGGTCCCGCCAGGTCTGAAGCCTCAGGATGGCCCCGCCTCCAGGACCGGTGGAGGTCGTTGGTGCAGACATGTCAGTGGCCCAGAGTCACAGTGAAACCCTGTGCCATCGGGTAATACAGCGCGCCAGACCAGGCTGGTTCCAGCCCGCAACACTGGCTGGGGCCAGGCCTTGGCGGTGAAGTGGCCTGCGACGAGACAGGCTGAGATGTGAGTAATTCGTTCCCAGGGAATTCCTAAGACGGTATGGAAGAACAGGTTGCGGATGGAAGATCGGCTCGTGTTTGATTTATGCTTGACAATGGAAGCATCCGAACAGACGACGAAACTGGACAGTCCCCATCCCTTTCATCTGCGGGAACGGGAATGGACCCTGAAGAAACCTGAATCCTGAGGGACCGAAAGTCAACCACCTCACCCTCAAAGTGTCCCCACGGAAGTCTTATCGTTCCCGCGCTATCCCTTTTGTTAATTGTTATCGATAGAGGAAGTGGGGCAGCATGAGATAGCGGGATGCACTTCGATAAGACACCCCGACTGGGGAAGCGATTACAGATCCCAAGGTACCTTACCTGGTATACCTTACCTTGGTCCAGGCGCGTAGGTACCTTGATGGGAGCACACCGTACCCCTCCATCACCGCCTCTCACTCATATGGCGGTCTCCCTTGCCTTTGAATCTCATTTGAGAGCATCGTACAAACGCAACGTCTTGCAGATTTGAAGACGACAGGTTCAAAGAGAACGGCAGAACAATTGCTTCGTGTACAGATTCATCCCCAAGGCCATCCGGCGCCATCTGCCATCCGCCACCTCCAACAAGCAACTGCCCGTGACACCCCGCACCCGCCATTCGTCCCAGGTTTCGTGACTACCTTCCTTACTACCCGATTATTACAAAGTACCACCACCCAGTCACATCACCGCTAACAAACGAGCGGACGGGTACTTTGAGGTTTCGTCCCTCTGAGTAACACATCCTTTACTTCCTGCCAGGCCAAACGCTCGCAGCTCGACATGTACCCTTCTGTCCCCTCCTTCCCATTCTGATCAGGTGCGCTCCTCCCCGCCCCTACCCAACCCAAGCCAACGCCCTACCTGACCTTGCTCTGACCGACAGTTACCGACTGCAGCCTCAGCGGACTGGGCGGGCTACAGCCGAACTCAAGTCAACGTCGTGCCGTCTCATCCCGTAACCTCGTTCTTTTTGCCGGGCAAAACAGTCTTTTTTTTTCATTCCTCTCTCTCACCTTCCACCATGTCCGCTTCCGGAGTATCGGTATTGGAGGTGCCCGCGAGCAGAATGGACAAGTTCTGTCGCTTACCGCCAGAACTCCGTACAGCCGTTATTGAGTGTGTTGTCGCTGACTGCCGCTACGGCGATGAGCCCGATTCCCTCGCCGACTACGCCTTGGTCTGCAAGGAGTGGCAGGCCGTCGTCGAGCGTTCCAACTTTGCCGTCCTCAAAGTCACCCTGGCCAACCTGGACGACTTTGAGTCATCCATGGTCGGCTCTCGCCGCAAACTCGTCCAGCGGATCAACCTACACGTCGACCTGCCCGCCTACGACAATGATCCCTGCGAAAAGAAGGAGACCTGGGAGGACAAGGCCGAGAATAACTCGTGCTTTACTCTTGCATTTTACCGTCTGTTTGGCATCATGCATTCCTGGACACAGGAGGATTCCACCCGTAACGGCATCGATTTCTCACTAAGCATCTCTTCACCCAGCGACCTCCGCAACGCCAACTTTGAGCTATGGCAACGACGCAGGTGGAATATCAAAGATATCGGCGAAAAGCGTTTCGCGGACTCTTGGATCGATTTCGTCGGCCAGGATGAGGAGTTTGACCGGGTCAACCGCCTGCCTGTGGTTAAGGTGATAAGGTCGTTCACAGTGAGCCCTCAGAACCACCGGGCACTGATGCCCGCTGCTCATGCCGACATCATCGCCCGGCTGCCCGGGTTGCGAACAGCCAATTTCGACATCACCAAGGACCGTAAGAAGGAAACCCGCAAAATCCACTTCAACCGTGCGTTCCATGATGATGTTGATACCCCCCAGGTCCCCTCACTAACACTGGCCAGAATTCGCCGGTTCCATGACAAAGTGGCCCACCTCACTGGAATCTCTCACCATCATGTCCAATACGATATCATCGTGGCGCCAGATCCCTCACGAGACGCTTGCTGAAGGCGACAGCGGTGCCAAGCTCTGTGAAAAGCTCCGGCGTGCCGCTCAGCATCTCAAGGAGCTCAGCGTCACCAACGTCGTGCGTATCAGAGAATTCTTGCGTCCTCACTGGCCCATGGGGACGGACGATACCGAGCCGTTCCTGGCGAACCGCTCGTATCACCCAGAGTTCTGGCTGCTCAAGACTCTCTACATCTCTTATGGATCCATCTGGTACAATACAGAGTGGCACAAGCAGAGCGACGATATCAATGAATCCTCGGAGCTAGTCGATTTCCGCCAGAATGTTTCCCTCGCCGCCGCCCGGATGGCGTCTACGATGCCCCAACTGAAGCACATGACCATCAAGCAGCGGCCTCTAATGTGGGCAGGCAAGCATGAGCTCGAGTACAAAATCGAGGACGACGACAAGGCCTACTTGACCTGGACGAGCACCTTTGAATTTAGGCCATGGGAGCGAACGGTGGAGGCGTGGGTCGAGGTGGCGGCCCGGCAGGAGAGGAAGCTCGAAGTTCGCATCATCACTAGGGCTTGGCATACAGACGGTAAAGCTCCTCTTCTGCCATCACTCACTTTTTGAGCACTCTTTCTTTCTCGGAATCGAGGGACTTCAGTGCGCGCATTCCTTTTTTTTCTTTGGGCCTTTGGGGAGGACGGAGTTCTTATGGCGTTCTCGAAGGATTTTTGGCATTTCTCCTTGGTACTCCTCTCATTACACTTGGTTCATGATACCCAGGGTCCGGAACCGCTCTTCACGGCGTCATCATTACATCTCAGGGAAGGGGAAAGCGGGCAGTATTAATAGACTCAAGCCAGGATGAGGGCGAGACCTCAGCGGGGTGAAGGGGCGGCTATACCAGAGTGACGCGATTCTTGGTAGATACGTTGAATGAGCGATACACGATTCAAACACTTGGTCTCTTTGTTTTGTTCCTTTTTGACTTCGTTTTCGTGATGGGTTTCCCCGGCTTTGTGTCATGATTCAGGATGAGATGGTTCTGCTACACGTGCTGTGACCAGCAGTAGCCCAGTGCTGACACCGCCTCGATGGCTGGTTCAGACTTGCATGACATACACAGTATGGGTGGGATTTAATCTGATGGTTCTTAGTCAAGGTAATTATGATTGGTTGAGTGTAATCTGAGTCTCGGAAGCAGATGTGAGATTTGCAATGAGTCTCCTCATGAGAGATGAAATCTGAGGCTCAGAAGCAGGCCTCAGATTTCCAATGAGATCTCTCATGAGATGAATGAGCCGAGATGGGTTCACATGCTGACAGAGGATCTACAATCACTGATGAGCCATTCTCATTCACCATCTCATAGGTTATATGAAGTAATTTGAGATCATTTGACTTTTTTCATCTTATTGATGCTGAAAAGAGTAACTCTCTCCCAATTCCCCAACGCCGTGTTGTCCCAGACGCCATTTACCCTGAAATCCCATGAACCAGATATAATCACCTCATGCGTACGTACACATCTACAGTGAGCCGTTTTCTTCGGGCAACACTCAAGAATGGCTCCCACACCTCACTCATCGTCATCGTCATCGTTCAAGTCAACCTTGGGCCCGGGTCCCCAGCTGTACCTCTTGCGCGTCCTCAACATCCAGCTCCAGTGGCTCCACGGGTCCTCCGCAAGCTTGGTCATCTCAATCACATCTCCATGGCCCTCCCACAGCGTGGTGAGTCCATACTCGACCGCCATCCGCGCATACTTTGTCGCCAACCACGGCTCCCCGATACCATTATACTCGATCGCGGCGAGGGTGTACGCCTCAGTCAGCAGGCTCCAGTTGTGCTCCTGCTCATACAGGGAGATCAACAGCTCCGCCATCTGCGGGGTCGCCCTGGACGCGGGGGTGTAGTCGTTGAACTCCTCCCGCAGGGAGGCGATCTGCTCGATGCGGCGGTCCGACTCGTCCGTCTTGAGGCGGTGCTGCATGCAGTGGTGGCAGGAGCAGTGGAAGCCCCAGGTGGAGTGCAGGCGCTCGCGGCGGGCGGCGCGGGTCTGCATGGGGTCGATGTAGGAGAGGGTGAGCTCCTCGCCGGGGATGATGTCGCGGATGGCGACGGTGCGCTGGGTGAGGGTGCGCGGGTCGAACCAGTAGTCTACGTTGGGGCGGCAGTCGTGGTTCATGCGGGATGCTGGCGGTGCCGTGTTAGCCGTGTTGCTTATGCAGGGACCTACAAGCAGGGAGAAGGGTGAATAGGGGCAGAGGAGGAGCTTACTGTTCACAAAGACGGCGTAAAAGTCATCATCGCGCTTCGCATCGTCCATCTCGACGTCAAACGAGTTGGTCACGAGAATCTTGTCCACCATGGACAGGTGGTCGCCGTGGTAGCCGTGGCTGGACATGTTGAGCCACTGGCTGCGGTGCTTGAACTGCAAGAAATCCACGGCGTGGGCCTGCATCTTCTTCATCTCGTCGGGCGGGATGTGGCTGAACGCCGCATAATCGATGAGCAGGCTCGCCGTCTCGCGCAGGATGATCTCGCCCCGCTTGATGGGCAGCGAGGCGACCAGGCCGTAGTCCTTGCCGGGCACCTTGGCGACCTCGAACTTGGGCAGCGGCTGGTTCGCGCCCTCCAGCTCCTCGGGCCTGGTGAAGCCCCAGCTGCGGGTGACGTGGGCGGCGCGGTCGGCGTCGGTGATGATGGAGATGCCCTTGCCGCCGTAGTTGGCCGCGTGGTAGATGCAGAATTCGGGGGCCTCGGTGCCGTTTTTGAAGCAGGGCGAGGTGTGCGTCCACGCGGAGCCTGAGGGCGTGGAGGAGGAGGTTCCCGCTGAGGAGAAGGGGAACTGGTCGGCGCGGCCGCCGAGGAGGTCTTCCTTGTTGCGGCAGATGGGACCGTTGTTGGAGGAGGCGGCGAGGAGCTGGGAGGAGATGCAGATCTCGCCGGAGCTCGAGGAGATGACCTTGGATTCGCGGAAGGCGAGGGCGGAGCCGGCGCCCAGGAGTGCAAGTGAGGGCTTCATGGTGATGGAGGAGAGATGTGTGTATTAAGAAGAGAATGATAACTTCCGGGTCGTGATCTACACAACGCGCGAATAAAAGTGAAGAATGAAAGGATGAACAGTAGAAAAGGGGAGAATAGGAGAAGGAATGGGAGAAGAGAAGAGGAAGAGTTGAACACACGCTTACTTTCGTCCCATTGATCTATGATAATCGGACTCCCGGCACAGCTCGAATGATTGAAAGTGGGACGAATAGATATTAAGTATCCGCACCGCTCAACACACAGCACCAGCAAGCACAGCAAGGCACGGCACGCAATAAGCAGCAAAAAGAAAACTTGAGCAAGCTTCAGAAGCAAACCCTGGGCGCTTCGACTCTTCTTCGGAATGCATGCATGCGCGGGACGGGGTTCGAGCTCTCGGCGCTGGCTGGACCAGCGTTTGGGATGCTCGCGGGGGAGCAACAGGATTGGAGCATGGGTGGAGGAGGGGGATAACTCACACCTCACAGCCTACAGACCCCATAGACTATAGAACGGATGGTGATGGGGTTTGCGGGAAAGACGTGACAAGGTCCGCGAGCTTCTTGGGGCCTGGATCCCTGTCTTGAGGTCTGGATGTTTGTGTGAATGGTCGATTGCGTTGGAACTCTGAGTTGCCATTGAAGCTGTCCACGGGTTCCGTCTGACACTTTTTTTTTCTTGTCTTTTCTTCCTGGTCCATCATCCATGGGATCATTGAGGTATGGACGGTGGATCGTGGCCCATGGCGAACCCCAGGATGGAGAGAAACAAGACTTTTGACGAGTGTAACCCTCGGTAACTTTAGTAAGGTTGTCTTGTAACGAGGAAGGGTTAAGCGACTCATGGTGCGAAGGAGGACAATCCCCTGTAACCCCTTCCCGCGACCCAATTGGACATTGGCGTTGTTTGATGATTGATGCTCGCTGGTAAGGTATGTAGGATCATAAAGAAAAGGGGGGGACGGAAAGGATGGCGCTGGGTTGCAGCGCTGCGATTGTTTCTTGTGTCAAGATCCTCGTTGATGGGCGTTCAAGGGGGTTGTGCGCTCGTGTCAGATGTGTTGCAGGACGCTGGGGTTGAGTTCTCGAGTGCACCCCAGCACCTCCCAGCACTCCCCGTAAAGCGATGGTGGGCGGAAAAAAAAAGGGGTGGTGTTGCAGACAAAACGGAATGGGGCCCGGGTTTGGAGGTCAGACAAAACAACTGACACACGCCGATCAGCGGGAGAGCCTTGGCCTGCCACTATTTTGTTGGTAACACGGCACCGTTGACAAGTAGTAGCCTGCTCTGGTGCTTCGTATGTACCTAGGTATGAACCCCTTGGCTAGTTGGCCGTAGGGTCCCCAGCAAACTACCTTCTCTTGCATGGCAGTTGTGGAGTGTTTCCAAACCGATTCTGTGGGAGAATGTCAGGCACAAGAAGGGATAACAGCAAGCGGGTTAAAGTTAAAATTTAGGTACGCTTGCAGGAGATGGTGGTGGTGGTGGCCGCGGCCACCTTTTAGCCATGGCCTTTTTTGGTGAGTGTCGTCAGGATTGACTTGCCTTTCTCTGCCTCAGTTGAGCCAACCTGAGCCCGCGGACTCTGAAGTGGGACGGGCTTCATATTTTCGCCTGGGAATGCTGCCTTGGCTGCCCTGCTGGGGACATGTGCAGATGGAACATTCTGATGACCAAGAATGCCTGCCCGTAAACATATTGTCGTGCAGCTGCCTAGAATAGATGCTACCGCACATGTGTCGAGGAAACTTGCGACGACGCGGGAGCCACCTGCGCCCACTGTGGCGGCTAAAACATAACACACAGCACAGGTCCCGAACCGCGCAGGACGTGGGCAGACCTGCAGGTGCCGTCCTATCCAGCGGTTCTCACTGTACAAGGCACCAATAGCCGGCGACAAAGAACACAAATCACATCTCAGCTGCCCGCCAGCGACCGGACGATGGTGGAAGGAGGGGGGCGTCGAGGACCTTATATAGTGGAGCAAAGTGAAGAATCCAGACCTCTCGAGTCCCAGCCGTCGGGTTTCCGTGAGGCCGATGTTTTGGATTTGCATGTCCCGTGTCGCGTATAGGAAAAAGGGTCCAGCCGAAACGAGGGCCGGAACCCAACGGAAAAAGTCTCCGGCCGCGGGGACGACCGTGACCCACCCGGAGAAGAAGGCGGCGATAAGTGGGCACCATGCTCGGAGTACCGGAGTATGCGGGATCGCTTCATTCGGTAATTCAGTATCAATCACACCAGTATCACAATCTACAGTAATCAAATCAACCCTTAAAGTCCTTCTCCAACCGTCCGCCCCGTCTCCTAAACTGATCCGCAACACTCTCCATCTCCACAGCAGGAAACCTCGGATCCTTCTGCCACGGCAAGAAATCACTACTCGCCACCATCCACCGCAACACAACCCCTTCCATCCGCCTCCTCACCTCCTGATACTCGCCCACCTCGGCCAAGTTATGCAACTCTCCCGGGTCCCCAGCCCGATCATACAGCTCCGCCGGCTCGTACAGCCGATACACGAACGTCCACTCCTTGTCCCGGCACGCCACGCTCTTGCCCACAATCGTCGTATCCTCGTGCTGCAAGGCGGCTTTGATATCATACGGATACGGCGCCTGCTCCAGAAGCGGCTCCTCGCTCGTCAGGAACCCGCCCTCGGAAAAGGCAAACTCCTTGTGCTTCATCGTAGCGTCCGCCGAGGTCAACACCTCCGCGAGCGAGACGCCGCAGTGAGGAAAATGCTCCCCGATACCCGCAAACTGCAGCACCGTCGGGACGAGGTCCACCATCTCCGCCATCTCGTCGTACACCGCGCCCCGCGGCAGCCCGCAGCCGCCGACGATGAGCGGCTCGTGGGTCAGCGAGTCCGAGAGGCCCGACGGCCACTTCTCAATCATGCCGTGGTCGCCGAGGTACTCCCCGTGATCCGTGAAGAACAGCGTCACCGTCGAGTCCCAGTGGCCCAGCGCCTTCGTCTTGTCCACGACGCGCCCGAACTGGTCGTCGAGCCGGGAGATCATGCCGTAGTAGGTCGCCATCACCTCGGCCCAGATCTCGGGCGTCGCGCGGTGGGTGCCGTAGCGCTCGCGGTTGATCTGCATGTAGCGCGGCTCGTAGCCGGTCTGATATTATTCGTTAGCTGCGATGGTCTCTTGCACTCTCCAGGAGCGGCTCACCTTGTCTTCCGACTTCGTGGGCACACCCATCTCACCGCGATCATACATTGAAAAATACGGCTCCTCCACCTGAAAAGGACAATGCGGGAAAATAAGCGGCATAAACAACACCCAAGGCTTATCCGTCGGCGGACACTCCAACCACTTCAGCGCCCCTCTCACAACAGCATCATCATAATCCATCGCCTCCTCATTATTCCTCAATCCCTTGTAAAACAGCCTCTTCCAGATATCCTCCTTGTCCTCGGGCTCCTTGTTCCCGCCGCCCGCGAACCGCGGCACGAACTCGGGCGTCTCGAGGAACCCGTACTCGTCCAGCGACAGCTCCGTCACCGTCGGCGCAAAGGTATCGCCCCTCGGCGCGAGGCACGCGACGTGGTAACCCCCCTTTTCCTTGAGCGAACGAAAGAGATTGGGCTCCCACGGCTTGATGAGGTTCTCGAGGGAGCGGTGGCCCGTGACGTGCGGGTAGTTGCCCGTGAACATGCTGCAGCGGGACTGCGTGCAGACCGAGGCCTGGACGAAGCAGTTTGTGAAGCGGGTGCCTTCGGCCGCGAAGCGGTCAATGTTGGGCGTCTTTACGGTCTGTCGAACGTCAGTGATGCGAGATCGATGGTTGACTTGAGGGGGAGGGCGAAGTGTGACCTTGTTTCCATTGCAGCTGAGTGAGTCGTAGCGAAGCTGGTCCGGCATGAAGATGATGAAATTTGGCTTGTCCACCTTGAGCCCGCTGGGCTTCGCAGGCTGTTCATACGGAGGTGGGATATCTGACGAGGGTGCCATCGTGAGAGGTCTTTGTCCGATACACACTCTTACACTGCGGATTGACGTTGTCGAACTGCGCGTTAAATGAGAGCAGGAAAGTCTCTTCTAGATATAATCAACGTCAAATCAGGAGCCTTGTCACTTCCTTCATGAGGACACCATAATAATCCACTCACTATCCGAAATCGCAAACCCTCACTGGCCGAACGACGTTCGACACGGCGATGCGCGTCGTCCGTAGCACAGCCGACAACCGCTGCGATTATCCGGCGAGATCCGGCGATGAGTGGAGACAATTTGGGTGGTCCGTACCCAGCGGTGCCGGGATCGGGCCAGTACCGCGTCCGTTTGTTGGAGCACGAGTCGGGGGTTTTTGCTGGATGATCGTCGCAAATCATTTGTTTGTCGATCCCATGGCCCAAACGCTTTTTCCCCCAACATCAAATGCGAAACAAGCCGGTTCGTCGATTGAAGCTGTTTCTCTGCAGCTTGCCGCATTTCGAGGTACCGTGCCGCAGGAGCGGCTACTGGCCCAATGACAACAAAACATTGACGTCGGACCTCCGGCAAAGATTGCCAATGCGGGGTGGCTGTAACGTAGGGCGGCACACGGTCTCACAGGATCGACAGACTCGGGGTAGCACGGGGGGATGCGAGAAGCCATGGGTCATCATTTGCTTTGAATTGTTTAGAGGACAGAAGGAAATTATACAGCATTAGAATATACAAATATTCTACAACCCGGCATTCGCCTTCACCACACGGTGATTCCTGGTTTCGTTCACACCGCGAGACGGGCTTCCCGGGGGTAGTCGTTAAGTTTATATACGTAAGAGTTGCGCCCCGAGCCATTTCCCAATGCCGATGCGTGGTAGTTCCACAGGCGGTGGTAGAATCCCCGTGTGTGTGGACCATGCAAAGGACAGAAAGTCATCCCGGTGCGCAGGGTATAAAAGTGTGTGTCGTCGAACGCCATGCCATGTTGAGAAAAAATGCTGAGTGGTTTGTACAGCGGGAACCGATCTGTACAGAAGAAATTTGTCCGGGCAAAAGTTGGACACTTGATAGTTTTGGTTTTGTTGGTTGCTTAGTTGAAGCGCTCCTTCTCCCGCAGGCCGCCGATTGAGTCGATATCGACAGAGTAAAACTGCGACTTGCTATCCTTCTCGTACGCCGGGAGCTGCTCATCGCGGACAGGCTCGAGGCCGACGGAGCCGCCATCGCCAACGCGGACGACGAGTACACGGCCGCTCTTGCGGCGGCCGCCCTCATCCTGCTCGTCGGGGAAGGTGATGTGGATCTCGGGGACGTTGTCGGGAGAGTGGGGAGCGGACTGGGGGTTCTGGAGCATCGGCGAGCGTCCGTCCTGGCCGATGTAGAGGACGCTTGAGCGGCCGTCTTGACTTGTCTGGATGGTGAGGTTGTGGTGGTTTCTGGCGCCGCCCTTGACTTCTTGATAGGCGGGAAGCATCTGTTCTTGGCGTTGTTGTCTGCGCATGCGGCGCATGAGGAAGAGTGTGGAGACGAGGAGGAGGGCGAAGAAGATCAAGGCGAGGACGACAATCATGAGGTTGAGAGTGTCGCCGCCATCGACGTCGCGGGCGACAACGCCAGGGGCGTTGCGGGAGATGAGATTCTGGATGGAAGGCATTGTGTTGGTCGTGAGCGGGTCTGATTATTACTGCAAATATCCCTTTCTTTGATGCGAGTCGAATTAGGGAGCGGTATTCGGTATAATTATTAAAGAGCGGACGACTGTAGGAGGGGGTTTGTTAGCCATCGCGAAAGGGGTTTGTTGTTTGAGGGTCCGACATCTGGTGAGACATTCTGGAGCATTGTCTGGTGAACACACAAAGGGGACCAGATCCATTCCAGGTCTCCCTTTTCTCACCGGCCAACACACACAACAGTCCTCGAATGTCTGGTCCAGAAGGGCGGATTTGCCTCGCCTCCCAAAAAAGAAGTGGCACGTACGTAAGGGATTAAGTCTTCTCTCTGTGGCAGGCCGTCGCGAAAGTCGTTAAAGAATGCACTTGTCTCTCGGTGTGTCGTGGATATTTTTGGATTTGAGGGTTGGGTGTATTTTTCGGTGTAGTTGTGATGGTACGTAGTGAGCGGGTTGGTTATTAACGATAGGACGGAAAACTGCTTAGTGAATGCAAGCGGGAATTCCAAGGGGGGAAGGTATTAGAGAGTGACTGGAAGGAGGGTGCTAATAGAGAGCGAGTGACAACAAACGGTCCTGCAACGTACAGCAAGGACAACGACGATTTGAACAAAGTTGTTGAAGAAGAAGGGGAAGGGAGGAGGAGAAGAAGTCGAGATGGAAGGGAATGAGGAAGGATATGTCCTGGTTGGAAAATGGAGAGACAGGGGTAGCGCCGAGGAGGAAGAGGAGGTCTGCGGTGTGTGTGTGTGTGTGTGTGTGTGTGTGTGTGTGTGTGTGCCTGGTACCTGCGTTGGTGTGTGGACAATTGGTGCGCAGGCTTGCATTAGGACTGGGCAGCGGGTAAGTGGCTACTGCCCAGCGTGTGTGTGCCAGTGTGGGCGGCATTGGACGCCTGGGAGGAAGACGCGATGGAGCCATGCCGTTCCTGGCCAGGCATCCAAGGATCTATGCAGCAGAGGCACAGCATAAGCGCACAGAAAAAGGCGGCATCATTCATCATGGCATGGGGCGGTTCGTGATCACAGATTGAATCCTTTCCTAGAGCCCCAGCCTATTGGCAAGGCGGCAGGGATCATCACCGAGCCAGACCGGGTTGAGAGAAGCTCCAGCCAGGCAGTACATAGGTACTTGTCCGTCCTACCTACATATCTATACTGAGTACATACGTAGGTACATGAAGTTAGGTACATAAGGTATCTTACGAACAGAGAGGCTAAAACTCAGGAGAAAGCTGCTTACCGCCTTGGAAAAGAAGCGAGAAAAAACTAAGCAGGACCAGCCAGGACGGGAGTGAAAAAGAGGAGAAGATGGCAGCATCGGACGACAGCAAACGGTCCTCCCACCTTCCCTTCCATGGAATCCATAGTTCCATTGGCGCACTCCGTAGTGGATCTGGACCGGGCCAATTCTCCATTCTGGCAAGCACAGCCCATGGAGTAACTTGACTGATTTGGGAACATGGGAAGCAACGCCCCAAGATTGAGCCCATCTGACAGGCACGCACGATTCGTCAACGGTCTGTTGCAATTTCCGCCATTGGCCAATGAGGCCGCTGTGTGCCTGGAAAGAGCGGGGTGGCACCGGGAGCCGCCTTGAAACGGCGTCGATTATTGGGCGGCCGTTGGTCGTTTCCCAAGTAAGCTCATCGACCCCCTGCAGGGGCTCGTGGTCCGTGAGCTCGTGTGCAGCCAGGAACGAGCGGATTGCTCTTGCTCTCTGCTCTTGCTTCTGTTCCTGAATTCTGCCGGATAACCCCTTGGCTCTTGCCCTCCTCCTCCGAACCTGGGCGGCTGTGACGACAAGCTGGGACTCCCCTTTTTCTGTGCAATCTGGACTCGCAAATCAGCACCCACTGCGGCCTTGTGCAAGTGGGTCCATTGGATAGAACACGCGGTTAGCGTCGTGGTGACATCCATTTCGAGAAGGAAGGAGCGTCCTTCGTCAGCAATACCCGGCCTTCCACTCTTCGAGGCAAGCCGCAAGCCGTAAGCCGCAACACAAACAAATAATAACGACTTGGAGAATAACAATGCAACGCCCGTCGAGAGCATGAACTCTGAATGCTCTCGGATTCGCCCGACCAAACTATTGCTTCCCAAATCTCTTTTTCCTTTTCTACCCTTCCGTCCAGTCCGCTTCCTCCTCTGCCGCCCTCCTCTCGATATCACACGGAGCTATAACACACCGGCGCCTACCGGTATTTTCTCCCTCATCACAAGTCCATCGAGCAAAAAAGCTGCCAGCTTGATCCCTCTTCTGCCCAGTCTAAATGTCTCCGGGTATCCGTACCGTCGTCGACTGACAAAGTTGTCCGTCCCAATCCGGCCTTGGCCTCTCCCGGGGCCCCACGAATGCAATCATTCAACAGGTCAAATCAGGTTTGCTGCTTGCTGACTCTCGCCCAATTCTAGAAAGACTTCATTAATTCATTCCGCCCTCTCCCACCTTTTTGGCGGCGGCAACCTCCCGATGCCAGAAATAGCGTCGGAGCTCCAGCAGCCACCTGGTCACTCCATGCCAGTGGGGCTCTCGACCCGCACCGTCATCTCTGGCAAAGCGAGATCCTCGTGGCCCACGATGGCCCCGTTGCCCTACACACGAGATTACGAGCTCGTGAATGGACTCTTCCAGTCTTCCACGCCTACCACGGTGCCGCCGCCTGCGAGCCTCGTACATAACCCAGAATTCAAAATGCAAAATCCTGCCCGGCCCGTAGCGATCTAAGCATAGCCTTTTCGTCCGACTCCGCCTGCCGGCTCCTGTTGTCGCAGATCATCCCTTTCGGGACCGTCTACGAGATTCCCGGGAATTGCTGTTGCCCCTTGGAGACAAACGAGAGTTGTTCATCTCGTTTGTTATGAAGCACCGTTGCATTGTTCAATGCAGCGACCACCTCTTATCCCACAGCCCCTGCCCCTCCGGGTTCAATGCAACATTGACAGCTCGACACCGAACATCCCGAGTATGTGGTCCGAGCCACAAGTGGCGCTCCTTTGTGGCGCCAGTCCGCCCCGATTCACCACGGCGCCACAGAGAGACGAATAACGCCTCTCCTCACTTGGTCACTCCCGCAGTCATCATCACCCGGTTTGATGTCATATTGACAAGTCGCCCAAGTGGGATATTCGACATGTGGCGGTTCCCTTAAATGGCCATCGCTGCCGAGAAGGTCGTTGAACTAAATACCAAACGCAAAGAGGCTGCATCGTCCAGAGGCACATTTCATTGCCCATGTTCCTGGATAAGGTCTCCTCATTCTTGACGAGTGCAATAATTACATTGTGGACTCTTCGCGGAAGACTTGGACTACGTTTGACCTTCGCAGCTTGACTGGAGGTAAGCCCATGGGCAGTTCCCAACCAGGCGTCTGCTAAGAAGCCTCTTGGTGAGTATGATGAGGTGTCCTTGCAGGTGCGAGCGCCTGACGACGTCTTGGGTCTCCATGATCAGTCAGACTTGCTCAGCATGATAATGAAGCTTGCTAATACTCGCCCAGTACGGATGCCAACGCATGAGGCAGTTCGCCCGTGATGCTCATGCGCTGAGGTGGCGGTCACGGCCACATCTTGTCCGCGAATACGATACATGCAACGATACCGAAGCAGTCTGACAGGCGGTTATCTTGCGCAAAAAGAACGATTCGGGACATGCATCGCCCAATCTGTTCTGCGTTAGTCTACGGAAACGATGTATGCAACAGCACCGAAGCAGTCTGATGAGCGGTGAAGCAGCCCAGAGCCTGTCCAAGTACCAAAGACAACCCGCGCATCCCCGCTTGGCTAGCAATGTCAACCTCAACCTCGTGAATTTCGCGACCGCAGTTCTCCAGGAAAGTTGCAAAGTACAGCAGGTGTCTGAATATTGGGCATCAGTGCTAGGGCGAAGATTCAGTTGGCAGACATCTCCAGTACAGTAACCACGGCAGACAAGACCTCGATTTGAGGATACCCAGTGGCGAAAGGATATGTCTTGAACCAAATCTTAACAGGATCGACGAAACATACATTGGCAAGTCAGCGATAAAGTCCCTACCTGTGCTTGGCCTTGTACGAATGCAACTAGCCGTCGCCATACTGCGAGAGCCCCGCGCGATCACCACCGAGCTTCAGAGACGATGACCGTCTTGTGCGCCAGACTAATCATAGCAGGAGGCGGTGTGGCACCTTTCAGCATTACAAGTGCCACAACATCATGTAGGGGTCTGGAAAGATATCGATTCTCTCGCACTTGGACATACCTACCCTGCCTGCCTGCGTACGAATCTCTACCGGCCACATCGATATTACACAGCGACGAGTGACTGCACGATCGGAATACCTTGCCTGAAATGTCTCAGCAAAAGGTTGCCGGCAGAGGCCTTCGTTGAGGAGCAAGTCCCGTTAGCCCTCCTTGCGAAGAAGCAACTCTGAGGCGGTCAGCGACTGGGCCGGCCGAGCAATATACCTCTAGCCAATGGCTGTACTCCAAGTCATCCCGACATACAATCGATCGTGTCCGCAGAGCTTCGGACTCTCCATAAGCAAGGTCTCAATGGTAACGAGTGGTGTCAGAATCGTGTACCGGATCCAGAGGCCGGCATTTCCTCTCAGGACAGAACGACTCGGGGGTCCTCACTTACTGGCAGAGGCCGAACAAGACCACTGCAATTGGAAGGCAACGAGGCCCCTTGTTGCCTAAGCAGGTCTGCCAACTCGCAGACGAACCTCAAGGTAGGCCTTGTCGCTCCACGATAGAAGTTCAGTTTATCGAAAGCGGGTAATGCTTGAGTCTCGGGCTTGCTTTTTTTGTACGCTCTTCAGGCATAATTTTGTTTTTATAGGATGTCTTGTGGCGCCGGAACCCCGTGAAGATCACATGGACCGCTTCGTCCGTAGGGTACCGAGAAGAAGCTTGGCGAGTGGCTGCTACTTGAGCAAAAGGAAACATTTAAGCCGGTCCACACCAGTCGTACAGCATGCTGTTTCGTCAGCAAAGCGAGAGAGTTCATGAGTATGGAGTAGAGAGAGTATGAACGCACGAACTCCCATCCGGCCTTGTTCAGCCACTCGTCCCGACTTACTGGAGCAATCAGCCTCAATTGATTTGCGCCTTCACGCAATGCTATGGCCACCAAGCCGCCAGACATTGATGATGGGATGCGATAGCTCGCAGCGCAGTCTCCAAATACTGGACAGGCGATGTTGCGGAATGTCGATCCCTGCCGTGACCTACTTCCCGGCGTACCATCGTCCAATGAGACCCTACCCAGGCCCGTCAAGGAGGAACGTGGACGGACCAGGCCGCCTGGAATGAAAAGCAGTCGTGACTGGCTCTTTCAAGTTGGTAGAGTTGAAACACTGAAACAACGACAACCCCGCCAGAGTGGACCAAGACCAATCCGGGGTCGACACACTCAAACTTCGGGCGGTCTTTTGGGGTATTTCCTCGGAAGGGGGAGAAAGTCCCAGTCCCTTTGGAGTTTCATGAAACCCCGTCGGCTCGAACAGAAAGGGGGAGGCCATTTGACTCCATACACATAGTAATTCTTCATAGATTGTCCGCAGAGGCGGAGCGGTATGACACACCAGTGCACGTTGTGAGCACCAGCGTCGCACCCGTGGGATGTCGCAGAGTAACGCTCAGCAAGCCAGAAAACACCTTGCTCAATATTAGCCTTTGGTCAAAAAGGACGAGCGGTTGGCGGCCACGACACTGGGTGAAGAGGAGCTGCTCCGTACAAAGCATGTCTAATCCCAACCACGAGGGCTAATCCACAACCAAGACCATGGCTTTCTGCTCGGAGCCGGGCGCTGTCTTTGACATACATCTTCAAGGGGGTTGCGCTCCAAATGCAGTGTAACGCTGCGGGAGAATTGGCTCGTTGGAGATGAACACAAACAAGCGAAGGGCGAGCGGGAGCAACTTGGCGCGCGCGGGTGTCTAGAACAAGCCCTTGCCAGCCAGCACGTCAACTCGGATAGCAATACATGGCGCCTAGAAGTGAAGTGCATCTTACGGACACTCTTGGTTGCCATGCTGATGGGACCGATGTAGGTTTGACAGGGCGTGTTGGGACGGACGGAGAAGCTCAGGGACGAGATGGGCCAGATGGCCGGCCCCGGTTCATACCAAGCAGAAACGTTGACGGGCTCATTTGTTCAGCCGAGGGATGGCGCAACAAGGACGTGCCAGCGCGCCCGCCAGCAACATTGCAGCATTCCGGTATGCCTGTTCAAAAGAATTGCGTTCCAAGAGCCATCAAGTTCACGGAGGAACGAAACATGTCCATGATATTCCCATGGACTGGTGGTCCTTTTTTTTTTCTCTTCCCTTTTCTTATTCTCTATTTTCCGCATCATTCGCCACACTGTAGTACATTGTACACCGACCGCCCCTTGCTTGACTTCTTTAGAGTCACAAAAACAAGACTCACACTTGGCAAACAAAGTACAAGAATATTTTGTCTCCTGCCTCTGATTAAAGACGTTGAATGTTTAGCGACGATTTGCGGGACCAACGGCACTGCTCTGGTGGATTCATCATGTATTGAAAACACGAGCCACGGTTCCTCAGCTTGCACTTAACGTTGATGCCCCTATGCCTGCCAATCAGCGCATTCTCGTTGGATGAACGACACAGAGACGAGGAAGCTGTTGATACCTGCAAAGTCTGTTCAGACGAGGCACATGACAACGATGTTCCTTCCTCAGAGTCTTAATCGAAGTTTCGGACTGTACGAGTAAGGTGAGACGTCAAGGCAAGAGGAAGGAAGGAAAGAAGGTAAGGTAAGGTAGGCAGCCTGCCTTGTTGCAGAATTCAGCGGCCCAACTTGGAAGGCGAGTGCTGCCTTTCCTGCCTTGAACAATATGTGCCTTCCGATTTACTTCACGAGGCGACACAGGACGGGGCTGCAGGCAACATCGCACAAGAGTCTCCTTCTCTTTCTTTTCCTATCCTTTCCTCTCTACTCCTTGTCGATCATCCTACCCATTTCAACGCTTCTCAACGGTCGGACAACCAAGAAACACACGTTGAAGAAACGAAGCGCCGTTTTTTTTTGTGTGTGCTCGATCTTGCTGTGGCCCGTTTCGCTTCCTCAAATCTCAGAGACTTGGCTGTCGTTTCTGCCCCAGAATCCCTGAAGATCATACACGGAACTCGGCCGGAACATAGTCGCAGGTACATTTCCGGCACATATCGCCGCCCCCTGATCCTACATCGCCCACGCCCCCCTGAAGTCCTGTCTGGACACTTTGGACAAGAAATCAAACCCGAGAAGGCGCAGTGACAGCGAGACGGCATTGGACGCTCGACCAGGGAAAATCCGGGGTGGTGGCAGTTTGGTGTCGACCTGTCAATCTTCAAGCCACGGTTCGCCTGGGTTGCCATTCCTATTTCCATCCTCATCGGCCTGTTCAGCCACCGTTGAGGCAGGCAACAACAAGTTTGCTTCCGCTCCTCACGAGACGAGAAAACAAAACATTCAAGCCGCGGCTGGCCGTTCGTCATCGAGCAGTCTTCTCTTACACGGCGGCCCACCCGGCTGCTGCAGACTTGTGGTCCCCTTCCCAACCCCTGGTCCAGGCTTGTTCTCCTCGCTACGCCGGACGAATACCTTGACCCTGGATTTGGTCCTCCACAAGTGGTGCTGCTGCTCAGTGCCGTTGCCGTCCTGTTGAGAAATTGGGATGTCTCCTTCACTGCTGCGTACGGAGTACTCTGCACGACGACAATAGTGGAGAGGCGAGTAAAGCGACATTGTCGGGTTCGTGTTGCTTGGGCGGCCTATTGATCACATCACCAGTGGATTACACCCAAGAGACGATACTACGCAAACCACGGGCTGCAAGCAATCAATCACACGCGCAGTGTTGTCTCTCAACAGCAGCTGTCCCCTTGTCCGTATTATCTCGCCTGCATTGATCATCGCGCCATCCGTCCCGGACCCCCGTCAACATTAGCTCAGCCAGCTCCAGCTACGGATACAGCTCGTCGGTGCAGCGGGGGTCTTTGAGAAGTTTTGATCAGAGCAGAGCGGTCGTTTGCGTGACCTAGAAGCGAGCCATCTACCGATACCTCCACTGGAAAGACATCTGTCTGCCACGCAATATAACCCACTCGCTGAACCAGCCTGCCCAGCGTTGTCGGCATCGAATCCTAGTTGCATCTCATTCTTTCGTGGGAGCCGTGCCTCATCAATCCACCGCCCACGAGTGCCCCCGAACAAACAAAACTCCGTCAGACGCTAAAAAGGACGGCAGACCCCCTTCTCCTCCCCCGGCAGACGGGGCTTTTTTGTTCTTGACTCGTCTCGTCCTAGCGCATCCCCGTCCGTGTGTGTCTCCCTCGATTGGACTCGCCGCCTGTTGTTCAGCCCAGATTCCTGCAGAGGTCGAGACTCACGACTCTGGACCCAGCTCTCGGACGGCCAACGGTACGGCGTTCTCACCTCGAAGGACGAAGAAGCTTGCCGCCAGCCTGTCTTGTCTGATCTTGGGGCAGGATCCATCAGTCGAGGGTAGATTGAAACTGAGATCTCGCCGATCACCGGCGACTCAAGGGTACGAAGTACCTTCCTTACTTCTCCACGACGTTCAACATAATCTACGAATGTTCGTACGAAGCCAGAGAAGAGAGTGTCCGTACTTGCTCCGCTTCGTGTCTTGAATGACCTGCAGCTTCCTAGCTCTGCTCGTACGTACGGACACGCTACGGATACAGCTACGGGTCTGTCGAGCCAGTGTCTCCCGCCTTGGTCCCGTCAGTCAATCAATCTCTCTCGCTCTCTCGCCTGCTCCGCGGTGGCCCACACCCCCGGCTCCGCGCGCTGCATCTGCATTCTCGCATCGACAAGCCAAATTACACACCTGGCGCCTTCAACTAGGTTGCTTGAGGACTTCCGGACCAGATAAGCGTGGGCAGACCACGGCGGCATCGGATACACGTTTCCAAGTACTCGAGTGACCAGCATCTACGTACGGATACCGCCATCGAATGAATTGTACAAACAAAACGGTCTCAGCACGGACAGACCCTCTCTCTTTCTCTCATCGCCTGCTGTTTTTTCGCAGGTTGTTTTGCAGCAGCACCTATATCGACAGAAGCAGCACAGCCACATCCACGATCTATTCGGTTCTCGGTACACGCAGTCCGCGAGAACCTTTGACCATTCAAAGACGGTCACTTTGTGCTTGTCTGCTTTACGGCTTGCCCTACCTTGGCCAAGCCAGAGGTAACGTCAAGTACCTCGCCTTGAGTTTGGTGCCATTGCAACATCAACGACTCTCCCTGTCGTGCCTGTGGCCAGCCGTCGGAGACCAATCGCAAACCGCCATTCCATTCCAAAGGATCCAAAGAGAAGGGCTCCAGAGGCTTGCCACACCCATCCACCATTTTCTCTGACTCTATTTGATCATCGTGGGAACCACCGCGCCTCTTCTTTTCAGTCCGCATCGTCTACCTGTTTTTAAACCTTGTGTCTTTTTTTCCAACGTCCACCATCTCTTGCCTATAGTCCGACTTTGCTCTGGCAGAGTTGAGCCCCAAGAGCATATCTCTCGGGGCACGCAGCGTCGACGCTCTAGTAATTACACACACACTCTCGCACACTACAGACACGCACACACGAGCAACGCACACACCAACCGAGGCACCTACAGATAGAAGCTAGGAGCGACAAGGACAAGAACAAGAGGCACACACGCGACATACTGCATACACCATTCGTCCCGACTTGTATCGACGTTTCGAACCCCGGGGACTTTGAACATTGCTTCCCGCCACGCACTTGGTACCTGTTGGCCCGTTTTCTCTCGACACTTCGCGCTCAACCGCTCCTCTGAGAGCCCGTAGCTGCACCCAGTACAATCAACCAGTCACTCACTCACTCTGTCACTCATTGTACGGACCACCGTCTCCGCAAATTCATAGGTTGATTGGACGTCAAGTCCTGTTTGCCTCCACCGTCGATACTTCTCTCCGCGCGCCCACTTCAGCCCGTACTTTGTCAACAGTCAAGCCGTGTCAGGGTACCTGTTATTCTCTCCCGCCAAGGTGCCCCGGTACCTCAGCCCTCTGAACGCACGCATAAACCGTCCATTCAAGACGTCTGCAAACGAACATTTAGCTTTTTTGTCAAGCCGCACATCACATCATTTGGAGACGAACGCTCTTCGCTCGCCCACATACGCACAATCCCAAAAAGAACGCATTGCCCCCTTTGGTACTCTGCTCTGTGACCTGTCGTCACCACCTGTCCAAACTTTCAATATCTGTACCTTGGTGGAGAGGAGCAGAGAAGCAGGCAGCCAACAAAACCAGGCCAACCGCGAACGAGTACCTACCTACCTACGGATACTCATTGACGGATAGAGGAAGAAGAGAATAGAGGAGGCAACGGAACGGGAGGCAAGAAACAGCAAGGCAGCCACCGGGGATTTGTAGCCCCCTCGCACACACGCACATTCGACTGTCGATTCCTCGCAAGACAGGAGTACAAGATTTGGTAAGTTCGGCGCAAAGTCTCGTCTCTCGTCTCTGGGTTGGATCCAATAACAGGGCCAAACTATCATTGCCCCTCCCCCCCTTGTCTGCCTATTCTGATCTTTCCCATCTCATTCTCCCGTCCTTTCGCCTCCCTCCTTTCCCGCCTTCATTGCTTGTCTCTACCTTACCTCGCACTCTATTCACACCGTCACCAAGCTATACAGAGTTGAGCACCTTGGCATCCCCCTCCAAAGCAAGCAAGCCAGAAAAAAAAAAAAGAGGTACGATAATTACCGGCAAGAATGTGTGTGTGTCGATTTCCATCCGTACCCGGCCTCACATCCCCATCCCTCGCATGACTGACCCCTTCCCGTCTGCCATCCATCAATCAATCCTTCCCGTCGGTGTCTACCACGGTGTCGTGGGTGTCTGTCTACCTTCCATGTTTCTTACTGCATTTTGCGGCTTTGCCTCCCCGAAGTTGTGTTGTCGGGTCCCCCCCCCCCCCCTTCTTCCCACGGCTCCATCGTTCAACTCCCAAGGGCCCCATCTCCAGTCCCGGTCCTAGGCCCAGTTCCCAGTCCCAGTCCCAGTTCCAGTTCCAGTTCCAGTTCCAATGCACCCCCGGTCGCATCCCTGACCCCTCGACTCCTCAAGACTGAGGAGCACAGAAAGAGAGAGAGAGAAAGAAAGAGGGAATAGAGGACCACTTTGGGGCAGTTGGGCCACACCCTAGACAGGAAAGCTCCATGTCAGCTCCCCTTCAAACTCCCCCTCTCACCACCCTCCTGTCCTCCCGCCCCCGTCTCCGTTCTTCTCAGTGGATGCCTCCCTCCGTCTAGTCCATCTGCGAGTCGCAGCTACTGCAGCTCCCACACGAGAGTCTCCAGTGTTCAAGTCTCCCGGTCCCAAGGCCAGGCTTTTAGGTCAAGTCTAGGTCCCAGCTGGTAGCCCACGACTTTCCCAAAGGTCCAGGGTGCACTTGTCCTCGATATTGGATTGCGCAAAAAAAATCTCCTACAAAGTTATTAGCTGCCCGCTCCCGTCTTGTCCCTCGCCCCAGCCGACCGCGGGCGCTCCATCAAACAATCAACCTAATCAGCCTTACCAGCGACGCTTGACCTGTCGGGTGTTTTCTGTTCTGTGTCTACTCTATTATTACTGTACATTTTTGGTCTTCCACATCATCACAAGAGCCTCCGGTCGCTTCTATACATTACATACCTTTGACAGAGTCACCTTACTCTCCGTACATTATCCGTACTCCTCCCTCTCTCTCTTACTCTTCGTCATCTCTCTCGCCCTCATCCTCGCCCATCCTCGCCCATCCTCACATTCCTCCATCCCTCCCATCCCGCTATTGCTCTCCCACATACCTTGCCTTCCCGGACGAGCCCACTCGCTTTGTTTCTTTCCATCATAATCCAAGTACGCACACCTGCACCCTTATCCCTCACCTTATTCCTCCTCGCTCGCCTCCCTCCCTCACGACCAAAGCGGGCAAACCCTCTCCTCAACAATCAACCCTGTGCTTCGCGCTAGAATTTCTGCCCCCCCAGTCTGCCTGGTTTTACTGACGCCCACCGTTCTCCCTTCGTTTTTTAGTCCGCGCGCCATAGACGATTCCTGGAGAAAGTTCCTGTCGCAAGAAAAAGTTTACACCTACATCGTATATAATTCACGACCGGAAAACCCAAAACTTCCCACAAGCAGCTGCGCCCTCTACGTGTGTGTGTGCAGCCACATAGACGTGCCCTTCAACCTCTGCGTCCTCTCGCTTCTCGCCAGCCACCACAGCAACCTCTGTGTGACAGACAGACCCAAAGAGCAGCATCAAGCAGCAAGCGAGGTGCATCCGATCTCACCATCGCAGCCGCGAACTTTCCCCCCCATTCGCCGCACCAAAAGAGGTCAACCTCCGGAAACCCTCGCTCCTCCTCTCTCTCTCTCCGCATCCCCCCGGACACTCGACCGCATCTTCTGTGACCGTCTCTCCTGCGTAGAGACCGACCACAAACATGACCACCACCGTAAGTCGCTGCCCCGTTTACTCCACGTGAGGTCCGATGGGGGTGAGCCCCGGGTCGCGAAGATGCGAGCGCGCGGCCGTGTGTGTCAAGACTGCGCTTCCCTAGCGGCCTCATGGCCTCTTGGCTCGAGTCGCCAATTCGGCGCTCGGAACTTCGCCTAGACCTGGCAAACAGCTCAAAAAAAGCTTGCCTCGCGCTTTACTTTCTCTTTTGCTGTTCCTTCTACCCTCCACCGATGGCTGCCACTTTGCTAACCTGCCACGTTGTCCAGGCCCGGCCAGCAGGTCGGTACGGAAGCTTCCCCATGGCAAACGGCCAGAATGAGAAGCCTGCCACCGGCGTCGCCCCCGGCTTCACAGGCTCCAACTTGTACTCGCAAAACATCTGGAACACAACGTACACAGGAGGCGCAGGAAAGAGAGACCCCCGAGGTACGGTTGACCGGGACGATGATTGATTGATGGACTGGAAGCTGACTTTGTGTGATGTACCAGGCCCGGAAGACAGCTTCGCTGGACAGCCATCAGGGTCCGGTGCCCTTGCTGCGAACTCGGAGGCGGACACGTGGACTCAGAATCCCTGGAACCAGGACACCCAGACTCGATCAGCATCAGGCAGTACCTCGCCGAACCGCACACGCGACAGCATCCACAACAGCAATTCCTTCTTCGACAACAACGCCGTCGGGCAGGGACGCAACCTCATCAATGGACGGCCGAAATCATACCTGGAGGAGGACAAGGAGAACACGGGCTTCGGGCCCAGCTACGGCGGCGCCTTTGATGGTTCGTACGCAAGGCAGGAGAAGCGAGGTTCCAAAGACAATGCCTATCTGAACCTCGGCGTGGTGGGTGCTCCCTCGAGAGACAGCAGCATTCCTCCCTCGCGCCAGTCGGACGACTCGCACCATTCGCCCCCTGCCTTCCGAGACAACTTTGGGGGCTATGGTCACACTCCCAGCAACTCGATTGCCTCGAGCCGTCCCGCCATCCCCGGCCACTCTTCCTCCTTCCCCACACAGACTACCAACAACAGGGCCTTTATGGCCAACGGCAGACAGATGGACGAAACGGACCTGGCTCCTCAGTTCAAGAAGTCCCTCACGCTCGACGAAGCCCAGAGCATCGCCGCCGGTGCGCAGAACTTCCAGTTCAACCCCGTGTCTCAGCCCTGGAGGGGCGACATGAACGCCGCCATCACTGGCGAAATGTACGCTGACGCCATGGCGGCTCAGTACAAGCGCGGTTCCGCCGACCGCATCGCCGGTGCCTCTGGTCAGTACCGGGTTGTCACTAGCCCCAAGACATATGCGCCTCAAGCGTCTGACCTGTGGACCCAACGGCCGTCGTCCCGCGATCTGAGAATGGTCCCGGATGGCGACCGTCGAACGCCCGTTCCCGCCTTCATCCAGGCGCAGGCGCCCGCATTCTACCCTGGACCTTACTACACTCCCAACTTTGCGGGCCAGTACCCTCCGCAAATGTTCGACCCTTACGGACGTCCATCGCTTCCTCTGCCGAGCTACGGCCTGCACATGGCGCCGTACTCGATGCCGGGCGTGATGCCTATCCGGCCCAGCAAGGACCAGGACCCTGGCAAGGGCGTCCGCAGCTTGCTCCTGGAGGAATTCAGGTCCAGCTCCAAGTCGAACAAGCGATACGAGCTGAAGGACATTTACAGCCACATTGTCGAGTTCAGTGGCGACCAGCACGGATCGCGCTTCATCCAGCAAAAGCTCGAAACTGCCAACAGCGATGAGAAGGATCAGGTGTTCCGCGAGATTGAGCCCAACGCCATCCAGCTGATGAAGGATGTCTTTGGCAACTACGTTATCCAAAAGTTCTTTGAGCACGGCAACCAAGTCCAGAAGAAGGTTTTGGCGTCACAGATGAAGGGCAAGGTCGTCGACCTGTCCATGCAGATGTACGCCTGCCGCGTTGTCCAAAAGGTGTGTACACATTCGCGTAGCAAAGTGGACGAAGCTAACAATCACAGGCCCTGGAACACGTTCTCGTCGAGCAGCAGGCCGAGCTTGTCAAGGAGCTGGAGCCCGAGATCCTCAAGGTCGTCAAGGACCAGAACGGCAACCACGTCGTGCAGAAGATCATCGAGCTGGTTCCCCGCCAGTACATTGACTTCGTCATGGACGCATTCCGCGGCCAAGTCAGCCAGCTGGCGGCTCACATGTACGCCTGCCGGGTCATTCAGCGCATGTTGGAGTACGGCACAGAGCAGGACAAGGAGACCATCTTGGCTGAGCTGCACAACTCGACGCAGGTTCTCATCACCGACCAGTACGGCAACTACGTCGTGCAGCACATCATCGAGCACGGCATGCCCGAGGACCGATCGAGAATCATTCAGCTTGTCATTGCACAGCTGGTCACCCTGTCCAAGCACAAGTTTGCGTCCAACGTTGTGGAGAAGTGCATCCAGTACGGTAACGCGGAAGAGCGCAAGGGCATTCGGGAGCAGATCATTTCCCAGGCCAGCGATGGTACAAGCTCGCTCCAGCTGATGATGAAGGACCAGTACGGCAACTACGTCATCCAGAAGCTGTTGAACCAGCTCGAGGGTGCCGAACGCGAGGCCTTTGTGGAGGAGATGCGACCCCAGTTCCAGACACTCCGCAAGACCAGCACTAGCCGCCAGCTCGCTGCTATTGACAGACTCATCTACGCGACGACGCAGACGACGCCGTCCAAGTCTGGGGGATCCCAGGCCGACACCAACTCGGCCGCGCCAACCCCGGTTCTGACCATGGAGCCCAACAGCCCCCAGAGCAGCAGCCCGCCCAGCACCAGCGCCAGTGCCGTTGGCGAAGTTGCCGAGGACGACAACAAGTCCAGCGCGCCCGGAGGTGTCAGCCTCAAGGTGCAGGTAGAGGAGGCCTGATAACAGTACTACACGAATCTTTTGCGATGACGGCGTCTACGGTTGCTTCGGACATGCATCACGACACCAAACGGACTTGACGATCCCGGCCCACGTGCCAGACTTGTTTAAAAGAGAAGAAAAAAAGACGACGAACACTTACCTAATTTTGTTTACACATACCTGATCTGAATATGCAACTCCAAAAAATTCACCCACATACATGGCTGGAACACGGTCACAACGGTAGAAAAATTGCTTGGACAAACATTTGGGGAAAGGCGAGGGTTCCCAAAACGGACATGATTCTCTGTTGCTTCTTTTTTTTGGTTGCAAAGTTTTCTGGACTTTTATTTTGCAAAGTAATGAGTCTGAGGTCTCCGGAGAGCTATTGGAAGGATTTATCACAGGAACAACGGCTGAGCGATACGAACACGGAAAGCGACCGGTTGGAATTTGAGGTTCCTATCGGGGGTTTGTCGGGTTTCCAACAAGGAGGGCATCGGGGCCGGTCATTTTGGGGCGCAGATGATATTTTTCGAGTCTTCTTGTATTTTATTGAATTATTCGTGTCTAGGCGATACCAGTCTTAGTCTGACGGATTAGACCTGTCAATAGACGTGAGAGTATGGACAGTACCAGATGATCTGGCGACGTGTCATTGTGAGTGTGAGGTGAGAGTAAGGGAGTCGCTTGAAGTCATTCAAGGGATTACTTGTTTGCGGTGTACAACATTCTCAATCACCTCGACGCCCAGTGTAAGCCAGATTGTGTAAGTCGTGGTCCTCGGCAGATTTTCCGCACGTTCGGAACGGGACCCGACAGCGAGGTCGGCATCGGGATGGCCTTGGGTAAACGGCAGGGATCCACCCAATGACATCAGGGGGAAACAGCTCCAGACGCCGGTAGTAAGCGTCGGGTTCCTGAGCTTAGCCTTCCGACACACTGGACCCCGTGCCCCCCACGTGTACTATCGTGGAGATTAAACCTGGGCGGGTGTATCCGCTGCCATTTTACTTTCCCATTTCCATCACCCCCCAAATTTCCCGGTTACTTTTTTTTCTCCCTGCACAACCACCACGACCACGATCACACAAACGCACACGATGCAGCCTGCACGATTAACGTTCCTGTATCCGCACCTTTTCCGGACAATACGCCTCAGCGAGACAACGACGACGAGCCGCGCGGCGTCGAAATCATGTCGGAGACGGGGACCCGCCGAGGTTCGGAGACGGGGGTACGCCGCGTTCGCGCCCACGCCTGGGGCGCAGCAGTCGGGTTTCGCGCCGAGACACGGAAAGGGGGTCGAACCTGTGCCCACGACGGCGGCGACGACGACAACAACGGCAGCACCGGTGCCGGCGCCGGCTGGTGATGGAAAGGAGGCGAGTCCCGGGCAGGCTGCGGTCGGTGCGTCCAAGGGGGCGAGCGACGACGGCGTGAATCCCAAGACGGCGGCAGCTTCGGCGACGGCGACGGCATCGAATTCGGCGGAGAATAACGCGGCCAACGCTACGGGCGCCGCCTCTGGAGAGCAACAGCAGCAACAGCAGCAGCAGCAACAGCAGCAGCAGCAACAGCCCGAAGAGGCGGAGGAAGCGAAAGCCGCAAAGCAAGAAGCCCGCGACCAGGCGAAGAAGAGCGGGCCCCTCGAAGCGATCCTGCACATGGGACCCCCCGAAGAAGTCGCCAAGCAGCACCCGCACATGGCCCCGCCCCCCTACGTGCACCATTTCGACAGCTACTCGCTCGTCAAAGACCTCGAGGGCGGCGGGTACAGCAAGGACCAGGCCATCACGCTGATGAAGGCGATCCGCGCGATCCTGGCGCAGAATTTAGACGTGGCGCAGGAGAGCCTGGTGAGCAAGAGCGACGTCGAGAACGAGACGTATTTGTTTAGGGCGGCGTGTTCGGAGCTGAGCACGGAGGTGAAGAATAACCAGAAGCTGGCGGACGAGGAGATGCGGCAGAAGAGGACGCTGCTGCAGCACGAGGTTGATATCTTGACGCAGAGTCTGAATCAGGAGCTGTTGACGCTGAATGATAATGTGAGGGGTATGTTTAATGATCGCAAGATGGCGGTGAGGGAGGAGCAGAAGGCTGGTGATAGTGTGGTGAGTGCCCCCATTTCCCTCCTTTCCCTGGATGAAGTTTGAGGGTTTGAATGCTAACACTGTCGACCAGATCCAACAAATCAACTACAAAATCAGCCTTCACCTAAGCAGCGACGCCAAATCTGAAATCGAGGGCCTGCGGTGGATCTTGATCCGGCGGTCGGTGATTGGGATCCTGTTCATGGCGGTGTTGACGCTGGGCACGCTGCGGTACGGGACGTACGTGAGCCATTCGAAGCAGGCCGAGGCCGAGAGGATGAAGAAGCAGGCCGAGATGATTAAGATGGCGGACGGGAAGAGGGATCATAGCTCTGCGCCTGACGCGGCGGAGATTCTGGCGGCGAATTAAGGTCGTGAGGAGCGCGCGATTGAACGGGACGGGGGAAGTGCCGGGGGTAAACTGTCAGGGGTATGGGATGATGACCGACGAGTGAGGCGCGGAGTGAGGAGCGAGGAGGTGAGCAGGGAAGCTCGGGTGAATGTAGCAGGTGTGATACCCAATAGACGCGTTCTACTCAGGCACCTAAACAGTCACTGCTGTGGCTACTTTACTGAACTTCCGACCTCGTCATCGGCGTTCACGTGGATCTTTCCGATAATGGAGGTCGTGACGGACTGGGTGGGATTTGCGTTGGTGGATTCGCATATCTAGATGTCTGCATCGTCCGTCGGGAAATTGAGCGGGTGACGGAGCGGTCAGTTAGGGCGAGATCCAGTGGCTGCAGGCTGCTAGGCAGTGCGGAGGAACCAGAACCTCAAAGACATGGTTTGAAGAATCTTACAATTTTGTATGGCAGGAGATCCGGAAATGGATAGGGAGGCGGCCCTTCACATAATGTTTTGCGTGTTATAAAGGTACTACGAAAAAGAAGGTGCTGCATGAAATGATGGGCTGCAGAAAAAGACGGTGTTGCAAAAATTGCAGTGATGCAGAAATTACATTGATGCAGAAACTGCACCGATGCAGAAACTGCAATGATGCAAAAACTGCAACGATGCAAAAACTGCAACGATGCAAAAACTGCACTGATGCAAAAACTGCACTGATGCAAAAACTGCACCGATGCAAGAACTGCAGTGCCGCTGAGTGGTTTAGCCACACCATCCCATTCTAGGCCGACAGGGATACCTAAAGAGACAGACGTCGCGCAGGTCAACCATCGAACGACCCTTACTAGTTACGATGGGTGAGCCATGACAGAAAATGAGGCTCACAATCCTCACTTGAGATAGGCCCATAAAACTATCGAGTGTTGGTGACGGTCTTATAACGGGCTCTTATCCAGAGAAATAAGAGAGTAGCAGGCTTCGACAACGTTGTCTCCCAATATATCCCAAGAATCCCATCGACACATCGTGCGCCCACGCAGTGGAAGCAGACCGCCACCATCACGATGCCTACCACTAGTGTTGAAGCTTCCTCCAGGTTCTATTGCACCGAGCCCAAATGCGAACGCACGTTTTCTACCCAATCCAACCTCAACAGACATATTCAGTCTAGACACGGTACGGCAGTTCAGATGCCTTGCGGCAAGGACCTGCCGAACCATACGTCGAACACTCGACGTCACCAAAAGTCTTGTCGAAAATGTTGCGCTGTCTTGCGCCAGCCCTCGGCGGCCCTGGACGAACAACACGATACAACACCCACAAGTTCCACTTCCAATGCCCCTACGGCCACCGATCCCTCCTTCGTCGACTACTTGGGGGACTTCGACAACATGTACTTCCTCATGAACGACTACACTCTTGGGAACTTTTAAGCAGAATCTAAACAGCAGGTTCTTCAAAAGCTGAAAGATCACGAGAATGTTTCGATCTGCGTACTTTAGTCCAGGTGGCATTCGGCACCGAGCTTATCCACGACATGGGGTCTTGGCAATGATTACTTTCTCAGCTTGGAAATTTTGAGTGGGCGTCTTAAAGGCACTGGAGCCCCGGGAGGGAGCTGGCAATTTCTTGTGTAACGATCTTGTGTAAGCAGACTCTAGCACAGTCTGTCTCTCGATTTCAATACACTACTTGATAACTCATCAGGCCAATATGTCCAAACCTAAGCCATAACGGCGGGAGTCTTATACTTCAAGATTTCCGTAGGAATTGTATTGTGTGCAGCAGAATATACACCCTGACACCTAGACGGAGAGCTGAGAAAATCGCAAACAGTATGACATGCCCAGGTCGAGGATTCGTGTAAGTGAGGTGGGGGGCCCGAATCTCGGTGAAGCGCGATTGGGTTTCGGTCAATTTTTGGATGACATACCCATTCCGCCATATCCATCTATGCCCGAGCACAGACACCCTCACAGCCGGATGGCTGATTCGTTGACAACAGAAGAGTTTCAAGAAGAATCCAAGGGGATGCCGCCATGTCTCCGCTCATCCTCCTCATCATGGGTGCTTTTTGTTGAACGGCGACGAGTTTGGTGGGTGTATCAAAACACTTAAACTCCGGAAAATACATGCAGGTTCTTGATGTAAGTAATTCATCTACTAGGTGATAGGCTGAGGGATGGGCGGTGGATTTATGGTAACATATTTAAAGTCTTAGCAATTTGCTTTCCTCCAAGATGGCGGGCTGGAAGAGGTATGTTGTTTCGGCGCCTGATGCGTCGTGGAACAGGAGGAGGAGGCGGCGGCAGTAGCGGTGGCGGCGGCGGGATGAGGGATGAGGGAGGTGGGAGGTATGGAGGAAGAGCGAGCGGCGAGCGAAGCGCAAGTGGGAAGCGAGAGGGAGCGGTCAGGTCGTCACATGTGGGAGTCGTGATAACCCATAGACATACGTATTCGAAATTGAAGTAGAATCACGCAGGCCTTCTGTTCACCAGCTGGTCGTCGTGATACGAATGTTCTTAGCTCGTCCGTCACTGTCGACTAGATGCCGCACACAAGCAACATCGAAGAGTGAAGATTAAGACGCCTGCCAAGTAATGACCGGCAACCCGGCTCAACTCTACGCGCCTGTTGAGCATGGGACTTCGTTCTGCCTTACGTGAAAAGCGTTTCCTGCTAACCCAACCGTGGCATGATCCCGCCATTGATTTGGAAAAAAAAAAAAAACGAAGACCAGACGCGGCATACTCAGCATTCAGCATTCAGCATTCGGTCAGCTATCAGCCTTCAGCTTAATCGTGGGTTGCGTGTACAATCCCAGCTAGAAAAGGCGAGTGATGGCTTTTGTTTCTACCCCATGTGGTGCCAAGAAAGAGGCAGTGCAAAGAAGTACACCTGATTGGATCGCCCACTAGGTGCGCGATGAGACTCCCACTAAAATTTGAGGTCAAGAAGAGGCTCCCGATCCTCACTTGACTTGCAAGACGTCGAATTCATGTATAAATGATGGCCAAGTCATCAGCTTTTCACTGTCGAGAAGAATAGACATGCAATACTCAGCCTTCAATTTCGCATTATTATCTCTTATCTTTCAAGTGCAGTCAATCCGCAAGAGAACGTTGACCTCAGTCGCCATGCCTGTCCCGGGGTGTGCAGTACCCTCGAAGTTTCATTGCGAAAAGCCCGGCTGCGAACTCACCACTTTCACCACTCGGTCCAATCTCAACAGGCACAACTACTCCAAACACGGCACTGCTATTCGCATGTCCTGCGGCAAAACCTTTCCAAATCATAAGTCGAATATCAAGCGCCACCAGAAGTCATGTGCAAAATCCTGCACAGCTCTGGATCAGCCTTCAAGTCCCGCTGCGCAAACCAGCTTCGGGTCACCTTCGAGCGCTACCACCGGTGCCGCGGAGACTAGGGACTTCGATTTCACCCTCGAATTCCACCCAGGAGAGTTCAGCGGTATGAGCTTTCTCATGGAGGACTATACTTGCGAGACCCTTCAACCGGAATAGCGCCCCTTGCAAGACCGACTTCGTGGCTCGCATGCCGTCAGAACCGGCGTCAACACGGAGCTCTCAACATCGAGGAGCAATCGCGTCAAGTTTCTCTCTTGGCAAGGAACGGCGTGCAATGCATTTGTGAACGTCTGATACCCGGGACAGAGCTGGCTATTCCATGTTTCAACACGTAGCAAATCTTGGTTGTACGCTAATCGCTCTTGATAATACACAAAATTCCATCCATGAGACTTGCCAAAGTTCAAGTAGCCTGTGAGGTGAACCCCGATGAGGAACGAGGCGAAATGATGTTAGCGCTACGGCTACGTACCCATGTCAAAGTGTGTTGCGTGGAGCATCCACCATGTCCGGTGGCTCCAAGGACACCCCACCAAGGGATGGGATCCAACGGCAAGTGGGGCGATAAGGTGGGAGGTACGTACCTACCTTAGAAACCCGTCATTGCGGATACGTACCTAACTAGGCGCATGCAAGGACACACCAGCAGTGACGGTGTTGTAAGGTGCTCGAGATCCACAGGATATACACCTAACCAAAAGCCTTTCTTGTCTGGCCAAGAGATCAACTGGATGTTGCCAATGAAACCCTGCTAACTGAGATATCTCACCGTACCTAGTTGACGGGCTTGCCTAGAGCATCTTGACTTAAGGTTGTCGCTGCGCTAACACCAAGATAGGGATCCCTGCCATACCCGAATGCCGTTGGCCCCGGCCTCCGTTGTGTAAGGCCCAAGCCCGTGTAAGTGAGGTGGACCCCAACCATCAGTGAGATGTGAATGAGTGAACTCTCACTTCGTTATAAGCCTCTGATAGAAGTTCATCAGCCAGGCTTCGACTGAGAAAGTGGTAAAAAGGAGCTTGCCCCTTATCTGCGGTTTTTATGATGTCTTATAGCGACGATGATTGCACTGCTCAATCGTTCAGCTGACTTCACACTGGGTGCGCTTCGACGAAGGCACTGGTGTTTGCGAGAGTAGTGGGCGAAGCGGTGTTATTAACAGCGCAAGAGAATGTTCTACATCGCATACGTCATAGTAATGAGGAATCTGAGCAGTACACCGATGACTTTCGGTGTCAGCGCTCCGGGCATCGAGCCCCAACAGCTATAAACCTCATGATTGACCGCATAGAAAACAACGTTGCAGGGACCTCTTAGTTGAAGGACGCTTTAGAACGCTGCACCATTGGCAATAATGAAGCTTGTATCTGTGTATGGGGGCAGCCTGTCAGCACTGAGCTTACCAACGACACGGAGCCTTGAACATGGTCCCTCTTCTCGTCCCTCCCGTCAGGATTCTATCAGCGACCCACACTCTGTAGCCTCTGAGCCTATTACATACCGGTCATACCGGTAATGACGGGAAGATATTTTCTATTCCATTTGTGCTGTCTCGTCTTTTTGGTGAAAATTGACTCCGATCAGCGTAGAGTCTAGGCACAGGAGGTGAGTAGGTAGGCTTAGGGAAGGTCGTCAAGGGGGTCGGGTGTCAGCATTCAGAGGTAGAGGTACCTTCGCCGATGGGCTTCGGATGCCGTATGGTGCCAGGTGGTTATACGTCTGGGTATGCCTGTGTCTGGTGGCCCTGGCCAAGACCTAGCAAGAGAAAAGAGGCTCGCATCCTCATCGACTGAGAAGAGCCGAATATAAGAAGACAGTACAATTTATCGCCTTTTCCCTGGCGAGGGTAACAGACACACGAGTCCTTTTTCCCAAATTGTTCTCTATTACCAAATCAATACGCTCTATAACTCATCTTTCGAGTCTCGTGGCAGCAATACGGCTTTATCACCATGTCTACCGAGAGTGCGGAAACTAAGTCCCTTTCCGATACCTCTTGCAAAGAGCCCGGCTGTAAACTCAAGACTTTTTCTACTCGTTCCAACCTCAACAGACACAACAAATCCAAGCATGGTCAGCAGGTTCAAATGCCTTGAGGCAAGAGCCTATAGAACCACGCGTCCAACTCCCGACGTCACAAGATGTCCTGTCGAAAGTGTCGTGCAGCTCTTGTCCAACCCTCGATAACCAAGAAGCACAACAATGCCGGGTCACCTATAAATACTACTGAGATTCCGATGTTCGATCTTGTCCTCGAAACCTACCCGAGAGGCCTTGACGCCACGGGTTATGTCATGAACGACTTCTACTTCGAAGCCCATTAGTCATGGGGTCATCTTCAGGGTTGCGGAACTCGGAATCGCTTCCCATCCTAAGTACGCAGAAAAAGTATGATTCAGCGCACAAATCATCACGGAAGAGGGAATTGGGACTTGTGTGCTGAGATTGTGGCCGTTTCACGTCACGGGGGAGAACCATTCATTCCATTTGTGACTAGGAAGTAAGGCTTATGTATGGGCTCCGTAGCCTGATGAATATGGATGTCTATCAATATTCATGCGCTTGACCAAACATCGGGTGTGATAACATTCATTTTCAATGCGTTTATTAGCTCTCATTATGATTGAAAGAAAACTGAGAATGAGAAGATGGCTCATGGCAGTGTGTATGAGTTTCCGACTGAAGCCCGTGTAAGTGAGGAACGTAGAGTTGGAGTGTGGTGGGTGTTTGGTGCGCCTGCGCTGGAGAGTTACCAGTCGCCCCGCCACAGCGAACCATTACAAGATGTTCCAGAACTCTGAAATTCCATCGAGGGAAGCGCAAGCAAGAGCGGTTGTCACCAGCTGCACGGAAAGGCAGGTGCGTGCCATCCTTGCCTGCCGCTGCTTACCTGATATAGACCAAAGTGGGCCACCTCCTTCGGCTTGGGCTAAGCGAACCAGTGGAAACCTTGGAGCGTGCATGCCACAGCCGCTCTTGGCGCTGAATCCTCGGGTCCACTTATACCATAAGGTAAGGAGGTCCAGGTTGTAAACGGCTGAGAGAGGAACTTCAGCGCCATGAGGGAACACACTCCTCATCTGTCTAAGTATAAAGCCGATTGCAAATATGTTCTTTCACCAGATATCTCTTGACGAGGGAACCATGCAGACGGAGCTACTCTGCCGCCTTATAACCAAAGCAAGATCAATAACCCCTGTCGCTCATCCTCCACGCGCAGCGGGAGCAGAACACCGACGTCGCCATGCCCGCCACAGGTACGAAGGCGAAGTTGCGCTGCGAAGCGTCTGGCTGCGAGCATAGAACCTACTCAAGTCTATCCAACCTCAAAAGACACATCAATTCTAAGCACAAACAGGCTGTTCAGATGTCCTGCGGCAAATTCTTTTCGAACCACCAGTCTAACATCAAGCGCCACAAGAACACTTGCGGTTGCGAAATTCTGGTTCAGTCTCCAGTTCCCGCTGGAGGGACTGATCTTGGTACACCCATGACTGCTATCACCACGATGACGGCGTCGACCTACGACGACCTTGATATGATGTTGAATGACTTCAACAATGGGTATGATGCCGTTGAAAACAACTTATTCGGGTCATTCCAGTGAGAAGACTTTCAGTTGGAATGCGATACCATACGGCTGATAAAACCTACCTTAGGTAAGCTACTCAAGGCTGGAAAATCCTTGGTGGGATGCCAGACCACATAGCTAATGCCAGCATGAGCAATAACAGCTAACTCAAGACCAGGAGCTCTCGCATCCACAGTTCTCTTGACCTGAAGGCTTTTATGTAACCACGGGAGTTCTCTGAGATGGATTTGCCGTACTTCCCATGTTTCGTTGCGTAGCAAGCGGTCTGCCTATTTCCTTTGGGGTTCACTGGGGTGCTGTGTCTCCGAAGCATTAAGCTGATGGTTCATCGGTTGATGGGGCTATTGAGTTTATGACATACGAATATTCGAATTTCTGAATTTCCGTCAAAGTCTCAAAGTTACTAAACGAAGATCTAGACTACCTTACTTTGGTACAGCCTGTTCCCAGTGTTGGTGAACTTGCGGGGCATCCACAGTCCATGTAAGTGCCTGGTGGGGTGATCGCTTACGTGATCGATCTAACCCGCCATTTCATTGTTCGCCCAGGATACAGACCTAAGACAACAAAGTTCAGATTTCAGTTCATGGTATAATCGTGCAGCATATAATCTCAAGGTCACTGATGGCTACTCTGCATCAGTGGGCGGTATGAAGGGGCTTGGGGAGGGATGGTAATGTAAGCTTCTCCTCGAGAGAGAACATCCCCGCCAATGTCATTCCCAACAGGGGCGGCCCGTGCATGGAGTCCCTACAAGACGACATATCAGGGGTCCTCTGAGAAGATCAGATGGTTGCCGATGGTTTGGTAACAGGGCCCATCAGACTCGGAAGTTTATCCAGACGAGTGTTTCCACTTTCATCCCTGATATGATTATAGGTTCCCTCTCGTTTTCCTGGCTTCGGGAATTGTCCTGAATGAGATCGGGCTTTGAAGAAAGCCGCAGGGACACGACATACTCATGATACGACAACACGCCAGGCATGGTACTGGTATTATGCCCGAGACTTGAGCTTAGCCTGATGGAGTAGGGTAGCATGTCAGCCATGATATGAAGGAATAACAACTAAAACCATAATGGAGAAGAGGCACTATTCAGTGTTTGTAATACAGAGTTTATTAGGATTAGCTATTGAAACTTTTGTTGTACTCCATCAAGCAGGAGGTAGACCACCATCATCAGTCGTGTCGGGACTCAGACCAAAGACATTGCCAGAGTTGCTGTCGTGTAATTGTTGCAGGACCGATCATGAAGCTCGGGCTTCTTCTCACAGCCGAAGCTGGGAACCAGTGAGACCTCTCCATGCATGCCTTAAGCCCACTCGCGGTACACATCAACAGCCTCACAGGTAGGGTTGGAAGCCGGGCCGGCGGTGATCCAGACGAGGGAGCGGTAGTAGTAGTTGCCGACAAAAGTGTAGCAGACGTGCCAGCGGTAGTACGCCTCGTCGCCATAGGGAGCTTGCGAGCCAGCAACGGCCTTGGAGTCGTCCGCGCGGGAGTAGATGAAGAGCTTCTCGTTCTCGTCAAAGCCGAGGGTGAAGAGGGCGGTGTTGCCGGGGGAGAAGATGGGAATGGCACCGTTGCTAACGATTTGCAGGTTGAGCATCATGCCGGAGGAGATGGGGTCGCCGTTGCCGATGGGCTGGTTCCAGGTCAGAGCGCCGAGGAGGTGACCGTTGAAATCGGACTGGGTCTCGTTGAGGAAGTAGTTTGTGTGAGTCGTGGGACGGTTGGCTTCCTGAACAGGCTCCGTGGTCTCGGGGCAGAGACCAGCTTGGCCGGCGCCAGAGTGGCACGAGGTGAGGTAGGTCTCGCCGGAGCCGCCGGTGCAAGGGGTGAACTTGAGCCAGAAGGGTCTGGTCTGGTTGGTGAACTGGGCAGAAGCCAGAGTGGCACCCAGAAGGGCGATAGCGTAGGCGGCCTTCATAGTGATGGTTGGAGAGGTGGTGATGTGTCTGTGGAGAAGTGGTAGTTGCTGATGCTGATGCTGATGTTGATGAAGAGGAGATGAGCCCGGTCTTTATACCTCAACTGCTAGAAAGTGTCAGCACATCCGTCTCCAGTCTCGGTTGAAATCCGACCTATTCCGAACTTTCTCGTAGGCGAAAGAAGGGAGATAGGAAATGTCGAAGACTTTCACGTACCTTGAAGAATGCGATGAATGATGTTGGACACCTTGAGGTTTGGATACGACGTTGGTGATGTGGGATCTAACCAAGGACGGATGGGATGAAGTTGAAGAAGAGCGGGGTGGCGTGGTTTATATTAAGAGAGAGACAACTCTGGCGTCCTTTCTTGCTGCTTCCGGTTCAGCCAGCCTTCTTTCCGCCGGAGACCCTGCTGTCCCTCATTCTTTCCACATGATGGATGATCATGTTGGAAGGATCTGGCGGGAGGGGAGAGAAAAAAGAGGCGGTCGGGGGAAAGCGGAACCCCGCTAAACATACACGAGGTCCTTAGCCGCATCGTAAAGTTGGTGTCACTTTCCAGGGTGACATGGACGCAAACTAGCAAACTAGGAAGTCTCAAAGGAGCACTGGTAACGTGGTGTCGATCACCGCCCACAATTCGGCTCCGTTGATGGGCACGGAGCTAGCGCAAACGAGCCAGTAAGGGAGGATGCTCCTGTCCTCGGTGAAGCGAGAAATCTGGGGAAACAGCTGCTTCGTCTGATTCTGATCGTCCTTGTGTTCGTTCACGGGGTTGCACCGGGTCTGTCACTCCAGTCAGCCCTCTGTGTACTCCGCCCCGGCAGTGATTGATCACTTAATCTAACAACAACATCAAGCAGTCCACAAAAGTGACGATACTGACGCTTGAGTTTCCCGGCGCAGGATACCCCACATCAAGCCACGCAAACTCTACGCGGGTTCAGATTTCCAAGTTTCTGGCCGTGGGTCAATCTGAAGTTAATGAACGAAAAAGAGGAGCACACGTGGTCTAGAACTACGGACAGCAGGGCTCGAAGGGAAGCAAGATGTCCGCCTCAAAAAAGAAGCTTCACAAAAACCCCACGTTTCCTGCATCGTGGGAATTGAGTTGGAAAATGGCGCTCCCCAAGGCGGGACGGAACGACGCCACATGCACGTCATAGATGACGGTGGTACGGGTTGGGCTTTTCGAGGCTGAAATGTCAGATGCAACCTTGTAATATCAGGGTGTTTTCAATATGGTGATGCGAGACATTGCGGAAATCCGCTCCTTTGGTGGTTTTGCTCAGGGCCTTCTCGAGAGAGTCATGCGAAGGATTAGTAAGGGCAGAGCTGAACCCCATGTGTTAGTGAGACATGACGTTGGAACCAACGCGGATGTGCCGGCGGGCCGGTTAGGCATCTTGGCTCACTCTTTGACTTGGTGAGAAAATAGTCGCGATGAAGGTCAAAAGATACGAGAAAAAGGCCGCTTCCAGCTTGACACGATCAACATGCCCCAGACCGGAGAATATGGACTTACACTGCATGATCTTCCCATATAGATGGCATTTTGTCATTGATCCTGCACGCCGGCAAGGTTGATCTCGAGGCCGTTTGCTGACTGGAGACTAGCGGGGGTTGAGGCCTTACTGGATGCGGACGAGACACCAACGCCGCCGTTCTGGTTAGGGAATCATGCATGCCGAAAGGGCCGATGATGGGGTGTGCTGTGCGGGTTCGCGCAGGTTACGTTGCTTTTGTGACAAGATGCAGTGGAACTCCGATACGAGGTCGGGTCAGGAGGGTCATTTACACGTTCAAATGCTTATGTATGGAAATATCTACAATGAGAATGCGTAATGCGTCAAATCTTCCGTTCCTCGTCTATGTAGTCAGAGATGCCCTCTAACCGCAGACGCCCGAGCTGGCAATCGAGTTCAGGTCCCTGGGAATGACTCCGGCAATAACACCGTCTACAACATCGTTAGCATATACATCATCAATCACCATGTAGAAATCTCACCTCTGTAGGACCAACGGTAATCGCCAAGCTGGGCCTTCCACGTCCAAAACACCCAGCCGGCAGTGTTCTTCTCGTATGCGTGGACCTGCGCCGCGAACCATTTCTTGTAAAAGTCCTTTTGCGTGTCGCGGTTCCAGTCGTCCGAGTTCTCAATCTCGTCGGGCGGGCTGATGCTCCACTCGCCGACAATCGTCGGGCCCGAGGCGTCGCCATTGCGGTTGTCGTTGCAAGACGTCGAGATGTAGCTGTCGTGCGTCCAGGGCACGTCGTTCTTGTTGGCCCACTTGAGGTAGCGGTGGTCGTCAAACGCGGTGAAGTAGGTGTCGTCGAGGAACTCGGTCGGGTTGCCGGAGCCCCAGAGCGACGACATCATCTGGATGTGGAAGTAGTTGTTGGCGCTGACGCCGAGGCTCTTTTCGACATTGCGGATGGCCTGAGGGTGTTAGTGAGGTGGACGAAGTATAGACTTTGGTGACCAACATTGTAGCCGTTCTTGTAGAACGTGCTGCGGAGAGACTGCACGGAAGAGTCCCAGTTGGTGGGCTCGTTGACAAGTTCGATCGTGCCGACATTGCGAAGCTCCTTGTTGTCGTGGGCAAGCTTTCTGAGGAACTCGAGGAATTTCACAGCCCGGCCGTATTGATAGTCACTGTAGAAGCCAGGGGTGTTGGCGAACTGTTTGTGGTTAGAAGACGGTTGCAAGTCTAGGGCCAGGGTGTCTTACTTGACCAGTGAACGAGTTCTTCGCCACTTGAGCACCCGGGGCACCGTGCTGGCTTCATGTTGTTAGTCTTTGGAAGCGTCTCATGGGGTGAATGAACATACTCCAGGATGATGTAGAATCCGCGGTCACTAGCCCAGCCACAGAGCCGGATCAAGTACTTGACAGCTCCCTACATCGGTCAGTCATAGTCAGACTATGGATAATAGAATAACAAACCCTCGGGAAGTGCTCAGAGTTCTGATCAACCAACGACTCATCCAACCAGTATCCCACGGGAATACGGATGGTGTTGATGCCATAGGACATCATCTCATCCAAGTCGCCCTCGGTGATCCACGTATCCCAGTGCTTCTGGAACGCGGCATCAGACCTCTCCTGGCCCGTGTTCATGACGCAGTCGAACTCGGACTGCTGTCCACCGCAGCCCATGGTGTTCCACTCGTTGTTGGCGATCCATGGCTCAAAGACGAACAGGGAGCCCAGATTGACGCCCCTGATCTTGCCGGATGCCGTCCACCAACGCTTGGTCACGCCATCAGTGTCATCGGACGTGGTGTTTTGGTTGTCAAAGAGGCTGAAGCCGCGGGTATCCAACAGCTTCCTCGAGCCGTCGTTGGGCAGCCATGCGTGGGCGAGCTGCGTGGTGGCAGCGAGTGCCAAAAGACTGAGACGAACCATGTTGACAATGTTTGGTGGATTGTCAGGCTTGTGATGAGAGGGATGCAGAGACGGAGACAAAGAAGTGTGGGAAGACCGGCCGTCTTAACAAGCTTTTGATGCCTTCCTCGAGTCTTGCGGGCCGCAACGGTAAACCCCAGGATTCGCCAATGGAGTGAGGAGGAAGGAAAACGAGATTATCCCAGGGGCGCAGCACCCGATGCCGTAGCACCAGCTCTTTTCTTGGGGCCTGGACGCTAATGCAAATGTCGATCGTGAGGGCTGAATAGCTCTAGTGTATTTCGTAGCTCTCCTCACCAAAAGGCCCCCTGGAACTTCGCTTTATTGGCATCGCTTCGCCAAACAGCGGTAGTCTTTCAAGTCTATTTCCAGAGAACGCAAGGGTTGACGGCATCGAGCTGCAGGTGTTCGTCCAATCCATCCAGTCCGGACCGATTGGCGACCTCGAGAAACCCTGGTTCCTGCATAGAAAGTCGTCGCTGAACCTCGACAGCCGCACGGGCAAGCAGGATGACGGCAGGGAAATTGACGGCTGCCTGGAGATGGTCGCTGGGTCCCCCAATTGCCCCAATTGCCTCATCAGGCTTTACGACTGGCTCTTGGCGACCATTTGGGAGGATCGAAAGTGAGACGGCCGGCCTAGCCCGGGGGGCAAGTTCGATTGACCTCCTTGATGGGGTTTAGCTCCGGCTACCGGCCATGCTTCAAGATTCAAAGTTCAAGCTCTCGGGTGGTCGACAGGGGTTTCTTAAAGGGCTGCCTAGCACCTGCAGACTGCAGTGCAAGGTACGTAGGTTCTTAGTCATTATGCAAGTGTACAGTCAGCAACCGCACTGCTCTTTTTTTGGTGCAGTCTCATAAACGACAAAACTCGACTTATATCCACCACAAAAAACATCGTGAATCCACCAAAACTTCAAAAATACATACAACACCAGGTATTCGCTGGTCGTCACCGACCCAACTACTAATCCGGCCCTCATTGGCTTATCTATGGGAGAGCGGACGGGATCCCGAGTTTTCCAATGGGTATGGTCGTATGTGCCAGGCCGAGGACTGCAAGAGGCACAAGAAGGCACACAGGCGGTTCTGTGGGCAAGTTGGGAAGGTGTACGATTCAAGAGGAGCTTTGTATTGAACGAAGACGCGCTGAAAGGTAAAATAGGAGGGCCCTAGGTTTTTAATGGGTCAATGTGGATACAACACTGAGTATGACACTTGCAGAGTGAGCTCACTCACGTAGTCATGTTGCTTTCACGAGCTCATCTCTAATATGAAACGAAAGTAGCTTTCTTGAAATGCACTCATGATTCTTGAGTCATCTCGGATACAGCAGGACATTTGTAAAGTTGAAAACGCATTAGAAGCCGATTTTATGCTGTGTATCTTGTTGAATATTACGGGGTTGGTGTCCTCAAATCGCCCGAATGAATGTCCAGCCTAGGTAGGTACGCAGAGTGACATTGCGAGAGCAGAGTCTCAATCATCTTCAGCTTCATCTCATATTTCAATGTGCTTCAAGTCAGTGACCCTCCGTTAACAGTTCATGCTGACCGAGAAAACTTAGTAACAATACCGTGACACATCCTGTGGCAACTCACTTCTTAGATCTCTATGCCCCGCAACTTCCCTCAGCATACGTGCCGCACCGTATACGAAAGTAGCCATTATCAATGTCATAGTCCTTGGTTCCGCCTCTCGCGTCGCGGCAGATGGTGCACCGGTTCGCGGGGTTGTTGCCGTTCTGGACGTTCTGATCAAGGTAGTACACCCGGCCGCCTATGTCCTCGGCGCAGATGCCAATGGCCTCGTCGAGACGGCCCATTGCCCACTTGTCCCACGTGCCGCTCGGGTAGGACCAGAAGTAGGCGCAGTCCTTTGCTGTTGCTGCTGCTGCGAGTGCTGAGACGAGCAATGTCGCTGAGGGTCGCATCATGGTAGTTCTCAGATTCGATGGGTTGGCTCAAGAACGGCTAGGCAGATGTATAGTCGAGACAGATTGAAGTTAAGAGACACCTTTCGATAAGTGTATTAGCAAGACTCTGGTGAGATATGTCCTTCACCTGCGAAGAAAGCTATCCGTAATAGTTTATGTATCTCAGCAATGAATGTCCACCGCGCGTTCCGCGGGTTTGCATAGCGATGTCCAGCTGAGATCCATCTTTACAGCCTCACTGTACCCATATAGATGGGATTTCAAACTCAAATTGATGACAACCTGTTCCTCGCCAAGGACGTCAGCTCTTGGTCGGGGCTAACAGCACGATAGCAAGATCACGGAGGTAAGCAAGCCGTACTGGACCAGTCTGGACCTACAAATAGTAGTCAGAAACACAATGCCGCTCGATCTTGACTGAGGTCATTGTCTGAAGTGATATCCAGTATGCATTCATTTCCAACTATGCTCTTTCGCCATACAAATGCGCCTATTGTACACATTCATCTTTTTTACTTCCAAAACATGAAAGAAATGGTCAACGCCGGGCGCCCAACACTACATCCAAAACATGACTCAACCACTACGAACTTGACTTGCAAGCGGCATAGCTGTCAAAGCCGGACGCTTGGTGCCAGGTCGTCAAATGCTCAATCAAAGTCGGGTCAATGTCGCGGTTGGCCTTGATGAAGATGGTCTCGTACGGGTGCACGTTGGTGCCAAAGTACTTGCCGTTCCAAAGAACATCACCATTCTGCGACGTGTCGCACTCCTCAATGTAGTTCTTGGACTTTTGGAAGGCCGTCATCATCAGGTCCACCTTGTAGCCTTGCTTCAAGAAGGTGCCCGTAGCACCAATCTCGGCATGCACGGCGTGGTTCCAGCCGTCGTAGCAGCCGCCCAGGCCGACGGGGTCGTTCTCGGTGCCGAAGTCGTCCTTAACGGAGGAGCCCGGTGGGGGGTTGAGGAGCAGATCGATGCCTACGCTGTCGGTGGCCCAGATCATGGACTGGACGTGGAATCGGGGCCAGCAGTTTGCCGTCATGCCGACCAGCTAGTAACTCGTGTTAGCAGCAGTCACTAGAATTGCGGAACATCGTCGTCGTCTTACCTTGACTTCATCCGTGAGGCGGTCCAGGTACATGTCAGTCCAGCATGACTGCGCCCAGTGAGGCAGAAAAGGACCGCGGATACTGGCGTTCATGGTGATGAATCGCTTGTACTTCTTGTAGAGATCTCCCTTCCGGAGCACCTCTCCGTACGCGCCAAGGTCGAAGCAGGTGTTGTCCCGAGCAACAACCTTGATGTTGTCCTTCTCGGGGATGATACTGCTGACGTTGGTCTCGCCGTTGAGAATGAAGATGAAGTCGGCAGCGTCGTGCAGGCCCTGCTTGACGAAGAATTGGAGGTTCTCGCGGCCGGCGTCGGACTCGGCGTAGGCGTAGAGGATTAGGGGACGGCTGCGGTCCTTGGAGCCGGACGATTCTTTCGACGTGGTAGAAGACGAATGCGACTTCAGAGACGTAGAGGCAGACGAGCTCTTGCTCGCGCCCTTGTTGGAGGCTGCGCTTGCGGTCTCCTTCGCTCCCTTGGCAGTCGTTTGTGAAGCTGCCTTGTCTGCCTTGTCTTCGTCGTCCTCGTACCATGGCGGGAGGGAGTACTCTGGCGACTTGTCTGGTTTTGAAACATCGTGGGAAGGCTTCGAGGACTTGTCGGGCTTCTGCTTATCCGCGGCATTGCTATTGCTGTTCGGGTACTGCGGGTGGCCTACAGGATTGGCAGACTGCTGGTCGTGTGTCTAGGGGATCGAGAGTTAGTCCAGAGAGCCTAGAGAGAGACCAGACATTGGCTCAAGACTCACAATGTGTGTAGGCGTTGTCGACGTTGTCTGGGTAAAGGTCGAGAGCGTCCACAGGAAGAAGAGAAAGATGAGCAGACCAATGAAGGTCTGCCTATTCACTGGAGCCGTCGACATGGCGAATGCTGTCGATGGATGCTGCGGCTCGGAGTCGGCGACTTTTCAAAGACGTGGGCGATGCGATCGATGCGCGCGACTTGGGACCAGAACCAGCTGTGAGCGATTGTTATCTTTTCTGGACCAGGGATCGTGAATCACTGCATCAGAGCAAGTTGACAATGACGATGAGCAAGAAAGAGTAACACAGAGCACGGCCGGCGAGGTTTGGAGGTGGGAAAGAGTTGAACTTACGTCGGAGACAAGTAAGAAGCTGAGCAAGGGGCCCAGGTCTCAAGTGGACGCCAGGGAGCTGTGTCTGACATCTTGGGTAGTCTGTATAGTGTGGCGTGGCGTCGCCGACTATGGCCAGGGAGGGAGGGGCTAGAATGAAGGGCACGCGGCACGGAGGGTATTGGAGGGCAGCTTCAGGCCAGCTTTCATAGTCGGGACCTGATTTTTAGAGTTTCAAGACTTTGAAATACTATCCGCCATCGCCTTGGCTGGCGGGTGGTCCAAGTTTCCTTCATGTCACTCTTCAGTGACAACTTTCATGGCGAACGAACGACAACCAGCCTGTACGATTAGACGAGAATATTTTGGCAGTTCTGTCTGGGGTAGAGTGTCTGAGCATATCAAAGCTGAGGCTCTGGATGCGGTGGTCCGAGGGATGGATCTGAGATGAGATGCAGGACGACTTGTGTGGACATGGGACACCACCGTCGTCCATTCATCGGCCGCCGTCCGCCTCCCACATGTGGTTCCGGGTGTCTGGACTCGTAAGGCAGTCCACAGTCCACGCACACTGCAGGGACCAAAGATCGGGGAGTTCCCACAGGGGGACGGGGGCAATCTGTGATGAACGCGGCAACGGGACTCCCCACGCTTCCGGCGCGGCACGTCATTGTGGACGGGGGCAGCCAGGACGGTCATCGAGCGTCACCTTCACTTACTGTCGCTGAATGGAGAGTTGCTCTGAACAAAGATTGCCTCAGTTCTTCTCGAGATTAAGAGCGGATGGGAGAGGTGATCATACGTTATCGCAGTCTCTTCTTCTCTCGCTTCTAGACAACTACCGCCCGGCGTTACACAGTACTCGGCAGATCCCTTGAAATGCCCTTGATCCGCCCTTGGGTTATCAGCGGCCCCTGCGCCCCTGCATTGGCTCGTCCCTTGCATTCTGCACCAATTGCTTCTTTTGTCATCTTTCGAGGTGCCAATAGCGAACTTCACGCGTTTAGCTTTGGGCCGTGCAATTGAGTGAGACCTGGTTTCATTGCAATGGAAAAGAAAAATGCAATCTTGTGGGCTTGATGTTTTGAGCGCAGTTGAGTTAAGTATGTGTGATGCGCCTAGCCAGTTGTGTGGTCGAAATGAAAAGACACCTTACCAACATCTTCTATATCGCTCTGCAACTCCGGAAAAAGACCTCTCTGTGAATTCAAGTTACAGACTCAATGAGGACTCTGTATCTTTGAATATGTCATCTTTAAACTCAATTGGTCTCTTCTCTTGTCCCGGATAACGGCGTACTCGGGCAACCAGGTATCCCTAGTTACGATTCCATGCTGAGGTTAGATAAACATGATTACTTACCGCCAAGGACTGTCAACGGACTCTTTCCTAAACCGCCGCAATTGCAACATGGCATTGGAAGACGCAACTCTCGAGGAACAGTCGCGATTGGCCGAGGTTGTTACAGAGGGCTTGTCAACCCGGCTGACTGCCTTATCTGGGAATGGAGTTGGAAGGAATCGGCCGATATCTCGAGCGGGGGTTGCACCAAGTGGAGGCGCAACTGATCTCACCTTACCATTCAAACCTGTTCAACTGGTCATCAAAGTCGATGCCGTTCCATTGGTGCCAATCGCGAAGTCGCACATTACAAAAAGGATCCCCAACTCGTTGAGCAGAGTTTCTACCTCAAAGCTAGACAACACAATTAGGAAAAGATGAGCGCCGTGACAATTCAACCACCACTGTCCCGCCGTGGCCACGGGCCTGGGCTCATCATCGTAGTTGAAGAGGGCATCAACCTATCCAAACATGACAAGATTCTGGACCCGCCTCCATCGCAGAAATGGGCAGAGGAAGGATACGCCGTTGCGCAGATAGTTGTTGCACCCGGGGCCGCAGACGTTGCTGGTCAGGTTACCTCGGCCATCAAAAGTCTTAGAGAGCTCGATAGTTGTGACGACAAGGACAGGCTTGGCGTCATTTGTAAGGTCACCACTGCTTATTGAAACCCCCCAGCTAACAAGAATCACTAGCCCTCATCAGCATCCCCTCTTCGGGACTTGTTGACGCCCTAGAAAGCCACTCCGAGATCAAGGCGGCTGTGTTCTATAACTTTGGCCAAGCACTCACAATTCCGACCCTTTCGCATCTCCCCAAAACCGTGACGGACAGTCCCAAGCCAACCCTTACGGCAAAGATACACTCCTATCCTGGAGCAAGCGACTTCTTCGTTGTCCCTAGCCACCCCAACTTCAACGCCAATGCCGCAGGGCTCGCGCACACCCGCACATTGACGTTCCTGAAACCCCTTCTCGGCGGGCCGTACTTCGATCTCGAGGCCGTCTGGGAAGAGCACACCCTCTTCGAGTTTGGCGAGCGCAATGTCGAAAAAACCATGGCCACCATGGTCGAGCAGCCCTATGTAAGTTTTGTCGGGAGGCAACTCTCAAGGGCAAGGTTGGCTGATACTGGCGCAGGTCAACCACATCCCGACGCTCACCGGTGGCGTGGGCCGTCAATACCTGACCAGCTTCTACAGAGACCACTTCATCTTCAACAACCCCGATGACACCGAGCTCGAGCTGGTCAGCCGTACTGTAGGCATTGACAGAGTTATCGATGAGTTCGTCTTCAAGTGCACCCACAACAGGGTCATTGACTGGCTGTAAGTGTCTCCCCGGACGAGACACGCGAAGATCGTACTTCTGACCACAAACTCAGGCTCCCTGGTGTTCCGCCAACTGGAAAGCATCTTTCCATTCCCTTCACGAGTGTCGTCAACGTACGGGGCGATCATCTCCACCATGAGCACATCGCCTGGGACCAGGCTACCGCGCTGCGCCAACTTGGCCTCCTGCCCGAGTTCCTGCCGTTCCCCTATCAGATCAACGGTAGCGGCCCGGCCTCTGGAAAGAAATTCGAATTCAAGCTGCCTGTCGCCGGCGTAGAGTCGGCGCACAAGCTCGTTGATGAGAGCGCGGTGGAGTCGAATGCCATGTTCGAGTATGGAACGCGTGAGGTCGATGCCTAGCTGGATTGGTCCAGGATGCTGTGACGTCAAGGTACTTCGAGGGCCTAGATTTCCGGTAGAGAGTCATGTCTAAGGTACTCTGATTTTGGCGGGCGGTTTATTTGTTGAAGCTGACATCGCTCTTCTGTATTAGGTTTCTATTATGCTCAGTTATGATATGACAAAGTGAACGCTTCTCATTATGCAGTCGTCAAGACCCATTTTCAGACTCGGTTTGAGGCCATATGCGAGGATCCGCTCCGTGATGAGGACTCGTACTTTGTCGATGCAGTCGAGTCCTGACGAGACCGGCTCTCCTCGCCCCAACGGACCTCCTGGTCCACCTTGATCCGTATTCCGCCCTTCAGGGACAAGTCGTCGCACGAGCCCGAGTCAGAATCATCCGAGGGCTTAGTCGTCGCTCCTCCTGCTCCTGCGGATCGGGTTGAGATGTTCGTCGTGATGCCGTACTTTCCGTCTTCGGTTCCCAAGCGCTTGAACCCTCTGTCGGCTGACTTCCCTCCCGTTCCCCCGATCGTCATGAGTTCCGTTGGTCCCCGGCTTCCAGCCTTTGAGCGACCGTCGCTCTGGCCCCCAGAGAGGTTGTACTTTGTCGCGATGCTGCCGAACTGCGACGAGACTTTGACCATGAGGGGGCGTAATGTGGGCAGGCAAGCGCTGATGACACCGCAGGCGCATTCGACGACGCACCATGTACACGCAGTGGCGAGCGTCCCTAGATATACTATCAGCCGATGTACAGAAGCAGCCGGCTGGGTGAGCCTTACACGTCGTGTCAGTGAGCTCAAACTGCATGATTGTTGTGAAGCGGTAGATACTGGCAAAGAGAACACTATATTGATGTCAGCACTAATACGATTGCCTCTGGGCTTGGCATCACTTACAATCCTCCCAGCAGGAACATGAAGCACAACGACAACCGCTGAGCCAGCGTCACCTGTAGCTTCCATACCTGGCCGATGGGCAAGCACAGGATGGCTACGTCGGTCAAGATATTGGGGATGGCGTTGCCGATGAAGGACGCCTTAAGGTCGATGCAGGTACCTTCGATCCAGGGCATGTAGGCCTTGGCCACGGGCGTGCACTGGAAGACACACACAAAGACGATGGCGAGCCACCAGCCGATGGTGAGGAGGCCGAGGACCATGGCCGCGATCTTGAAGCCGCGGCCAGGGAAGATGCGGCGGTACATGAGCAGCAGCGAGATCTTGATGAACATGACCGCCGTCACGTACACGCACTCAAATGCCAGTAGCAGCTTGAGGAACTGGATCAGCGTGTCTTGTGATAATGTTGCGGCGTGGCGGCCGAGGCCTTGTGCAATCACTATACTCGTGGTCAGTCTTCATGATGCCCTCACTTCAAACCATCGTCTTGTCTGATGCTTACTGGCATAGTTGAGAGCTCCGGCCATAAAGGTGACAATCAGGCCTACCACCATGAACCAGTCATCGAGGCCATAGTGAAAGCCAACAGTCCACCGCGCCCAGAAACGGAGACCGACAAAAACGGTTGCGAGAACGAGCAATGCTGTCGTGGTGCCACTCAGTTCAGGCCCTCTATCCGCCAGAGGGTCTGTCAGAGCCGATGTGTCGGCCATGGAGGCTGAAGAAGGGAAAAGATGGGGGCGCGAAATCTCCGAGACCAGTACTCCTCCGTCCAGAATCCAATAGATTTTGAGTCAGTATCGTGGACACAACAACCAACGAGTCAACGAAGAAGCATGCAATGCAAGAAACACGCCAGTTTTTCGGTATCTCTCTGCTGCTTTCCGAAAATTTTCGGGTACGGGGATATCAAAGGGAAAATGAGAGAAAAAGAAGGGCTAGGACAAGAACAAAATGGAGCCTTTTCTTTCCTTGATATCCGGGATGCGCAAGCCTATAGTCCTTATACGCTCTGCCATTGATACCCTGCCCGGTGTAGAAAAACGTGGTGAGATTCGACTGACTCGGCATATGAGGGGCGACAACATGCCGGCCTGTCAAGACTGGAGGCTTCAACGGGGAGGGGAGGGTCCCCTCGACGCCTGTCGAAGGAGGCCAACGTCGTACTGGGATCCAAAATCCGCATCGATATAACGTCCACCTCGAGGCCCTGCTACCTCTTGTGCCCTTGTCCCCTACCCAGTACTACGTAGAAGTGGTCCCCGTCACGACCCTGTGCTCCGAGCGCGACGTCTGATCGCAGCCAGGCTCATCACGGGAGTTCAGACAAATGTGCCCCATTGCTGATGTAACCTCAGCTCGCCCCATCAACACCACCTCAATACAGTCGTTATCCTCCGGTCTTGACGACCTCTTTCGGAAAAGGGGGACACCGTTGAGGGGGGCGACAGTTGCGACACTAATTCCTTTCTCTGATATCGACATGGGCATAATGAATTCTATGAGATTGAGGCAAAGACGAGGTTCATGGGAGCACCGGGAGCTGTCAGCAGAGTGACAAGATAGAGAGTCAGAGAGGTATCCGTACGGATATTGAACGAGGATAAAATGGGATGTTCATCTCTTCCTTCCCCTCGGCTTTCCCACGATCCCCTCGGTTCCTCGCGCGTTGGCATCACAATCACTCTCTCGTGCAGCATTCCCCTCTTACTCGATCGATCCTATTGCATCGTTCGCTAATACGCCTCCGGCATCCCACAACTCCTTACCAGTCGTTCATTTTACTAAAGATCCTGCACGTCAACGGTTACCCGTATCCGTACCAAAACACTCTTGAACCTTGGTACACGTTGATCGGCAGTTGTCTGTGTCCTCTCCCCCCCCTTGACGCAACTTACACCACACGCCCCCCTACCACCACTCCCAAATCCATCAACATGCTCCCAAAGATCGCCAGCCTCCTTTCCTCGGCCCTCGTGGCCACCGCCGCCACTCTGCCCACTGTGGTCTTCACCCCGGGCGCCTGGCACGGTCCGCAGTCCTTCGACCTCGTCCGCGCCGGTCTGACGCTCAAGGGCTACGAGTCCGAGGCCATCACCCTCCCCTCCGTCGGCGCGGAGCCCGCGACCGTCGGTCTCGAGCAGGACGCCGCCGTTCTGCGGTCCACCATTGAGACCCTCGCCGACGCCGGCAAGGAGGTCGTCGTCGTCGTTCACTCGTACGGCGGCATGGTTGGCGGCAACGCCATCGAGGGGCTTGGATACAAGCAGCGCGCGGCCAACAACGAAAAGGGCGGCGTCATCATGCTCGTCTACCTCGCCGCCTTTGCTGCCCCCAACGCTACCAGCCTTTTGGATATGCTCAGCGGAGAGTACCTCCCCTGGATGAGAGTTGAGGTAAGCTTCTTCTTTGACACTTTGACACTGGAACCCAGTGCCAGTGCCCCCATCCCTCATGTCACTGTTTTATACCCTTGCTTGGCATGCGACATATCTAGAAACATGCCCCAAGAGACTCTTGATCGAGATAATTACCGCTGACACTGAACTTGCAGGGTGACAAGGTCTACGCTGATACCCCAGAGACCATCTTCTACGCCGATGTCAACCCGGTCCTCAAGGCCAAGGCCATTGCGGAGCTGAGCTGGCAGTCTGCCCGTGTCTTCTCTGACCCCGCGACCTACGAGCCGTGGAACAACGGCATCGAGGTCATGTACTTCCACACTGAGCAGGACCAGGCTATTCCTCTGGCTACCCAGGAGGCCATGGCCGCCCAGTTCCCTACCGGCTACACCACCTTCTACGCAAATACCTCTCACTCCCCCTTCCTGTCCCGCCCGGACCTCGTCATCGAGGGTGTCGAGCTCGCTGTTAAGGTTGGCCAAGAGAAGATTGCGGCTTAGATAGTTTTCTTGCGAGACCGAGTGCGTGCCTTGGACAGAAGACGATGTAGATCTTTAACAAAGAGAGACTAAGTCAAATCGAGACAAGTATGTAAATAAAAAGAAACAGAGTTGCAAACATACAGCTCCAGACCGGGTCCAATGGGAAAACATGCTTGAATCTTTCGAGAATAGCCTCACTCGACCCAATCCTCACGCGTTTAAACCGAGCCTGCATGTGCTCAGTGCTTCGTTAAATCCGCGTCAACCTACCGGAACTTGGCCGCCTACGTTAGCATGCGTAGTGCGTACGCCCATAACCGTAGTAGGCAATATGTGACAAGGGTCCCCCCGGATGAAGATCAGCGCAGCAAAGCCTCACTTACCCCTGGCTAGCCATAGTGGCATTCCAAATGCAACGCGGCAGATGTCGACCACTTGCGTGCTTTTTGGCGAGCGAGAGAAAAAATACTGCCCACCTAGGTTTTGTCATATGAAGCAGGGCCCAGGGGAGGGGGGCCAAAATGGTAACCCAGTGACGTTTCGCGTAAAAGCTCGCGTAATAGCCAGGGAAAAAGCAGCAGTACGAACTATCCTTTGATTATGAAGAGTCTGAATCGGGACGGCCCCCAATGAATAGAGGCAAAGATAATTCCCGGCTTTTCACCAACGCACGCGTGGCCCGGTCGAGATCGTAATCCTGCCTGCCGGGGACCGGAGACAAAACATGAATCAGCAAACTCACTGCAACTCTACCACATAGACCGCGGACCACGTGCCTTTTCACTAGGCCGTGACACTGACAAGTGACGACTTGCTTCGAGGGCATCGAGGGAAAAGCACTGGCAAGAGCCCACCGGCCTCATGGCATGGCAAGGGGCCCTGCCAGCTTCTGGTGGATTTGCCTCCCTCCTCCCCTGGTGAAAGGGCAGGGGTTGGAGAGGAGTTTCTTCAGCATTTGCGGAACTCCTGCGGTTCAGGTTTCTTCAGCAGCTTCGCAGCCTGCAGGCCCGCTGGCTGGGAATAAGGGGAGACAGAGAGGAGTTTGACGGGTGGGAACATATTGCATCTTCGAGACCCAATTGGAAATCCTCCCGCCCGCAATACCGTAACCCGGCTCCCTCTCCTCTCTGGTGAAGTCTTTCTTTTTCCCGTACGAATAGAAAAAGAGTCTTGCTGAAGATGAGACGGCTGCCGCGGACTCGAGGTGCATGTCGTCAAAGTAAAGCTCTCCCTGCGTTTCCCTAGAATGTCCTCGGCAAAGTTCGGTAGTTGAGGCGATCCCCGAACCGGCGTTCGGTTAGTTGAGTAGCCTCGCGAGACCAGATTGAATCAAGAAAGGTTTCCGCGTTTCGCCTCCCGTCCGTGGTGTGAAGAGGACCTTGGACGAGCAGCGGATACAGTCAAAGGTCGACCGTTTCCAGGCCTGGTCCTCCGTGCTCTGTCTCTTCTCTTGCTTGCCCCAATCTCCACAGTTCTTCCCATTCCTCTTTCGGAGCCTGCCGGCCGGGCCAGCGCAGCTATGACATTGACAGGCAGCGGGTACTGCTGTTCCTCTCGGTCGGAGTGAAGGCCGTTCACCCTGTTGCCAAGTTCTGGCCCGTCACGCCGTTGCGGTGCTCCTCATCTATATGTCATCTGTCAGATTGTGTAGAGTCCACAGCAAGGCAGTAGCTTAGGGAGTAGCTGAGCGTGGTATTGGTATCCGTAGGGACTATTTGATGACATACGGATACTTCGTACCGCTTCCACGGCACCGTCTTTCCAAAAACTCTCCCACAACCCGCGGCAGGAGGTGTCCGAATGTCACGCCGAGAGGAAAAAGAAAGAAAAAAGAAAGGAGTCCCTGAAAGTTAGAATGTGATAAGCAGCAACCCCGGACCCGGGCAGAGAGATTGTGTTTTCCACCTATCCTTGTTCACAAAACAAATCTGAAATCTGATTCTCTTTACATCAATAGTGTTGAGGAGCGAGTGGGATGAGTACCCGTCGTTGCCGCCACGAAATCTCAGAGGTCCAGGCAAATTAGACTTTGCACGTCAAAAGAAATGACAAGACGAACGACTCGAAGATCCCATCCCGGCCACTGCCACCCAGAATCCGTACGACGCAATCTGTTTCACCAACGAACCTGCAATGCTGCTCTCCGCCCTTGGCACCTGTAGGCCGTCATAAAACCCCAGTCCTGGCATGTGTTCGTCACCCCTCTCGAGTCTCGCCTCGCGTCTATCAGGTCTATCGTCACCCGCGTTATCGCTATCGGGTAACGGGTTGGGCTGCCTGTCGGATGTGCCCATGCCCTATATGCCTATCAGATGCCAAGTCTGAATAGTCCAAACTCTCTCCGCGGTCTGCTAGCGTCTGGCGTTCTGCATCCTACCCATGCATGCCATGTAAACTGCAGCGAGCTAGACGCACCAAAGACACTAAAGAATGCAAACCCCTGACACAGGATGACGGGGGCCTCACGTCGGGGTTAACTGTCAAAGGAAATTTGACAGGTAGATCTCGTTTCAATGAGCGAGTCCGTCTCAATTATCATCCCGCGGTACCTGCCAACCCCCGTGACCGTAGCCCACCCTCTTCCGCACGGGTTCTTCCGCGGACGGCGCGATATAGAACCGTCTCCTGCAGGTCTCAGCTCGTTCTCCGTTAACGGCAAGGACGGACACGGGGAAGAGACGGAAAGCACGGGAAGCCGCGGCTCGCTCGACCGGTTCAGAGAAAAACGCGTCTCTGGTCTCACTTTTCTCGACGATCGATATTGTCTGTTCCTTCGCTGAACCACGGCGGCGGGAGTGGTGGTTCTAGACTTCTTAGCCTCTCAGACTTGATGTCCGTCTATCCGTAAGTTCTAGGCCTTTCACGCCTTGGAGGCTGAAAAAAAGCAGGCTGACGAAAGCTGCGAGACTTGAAGGAAACTAATGCGGCTCGCATAGTAGGTTTCGATAGTACGACGTATCACGAAGCGGACGGGCTTCCGCGGCTAACCCTCAACCAGCGCCCAACATTAGTAAATCACGTCAACGCCGCAGCCCGCGCCCTCCTTCGAGTTTGCAACTTTCAGATGACGGATCACAAAAAGAGCGGCAAAATGGGATAAAGGGTGACCGGCGAGTTTCACTCTGAGCCTCGGAACTGAGATGCCGTATAGGCCCCTCAAGTCCCCAAGCTCCCATGTTCACACCCCCATACGCAGTGGAAATCGCAACGTCCCGAAGCACGTTTTGTTGCTGCTAGCGTCTGCGAAGAGGACATGGGAGCCCATCTAGCGGTGCCCACAAACAGCTGTCCGAGCCCTCTCCCCCTCAAAGACTTGCAAGTTCCAACAAGTTTTTGTTGGCAGCGACTACGAATAAATCCCTGGTCTTCTTTGATGACCATCACGCTCTCCAAGAGACGATCATTGGGTAGCTGAAGGCAAAAATAAGCACTTGGAGCTTGGAAGTTGGGCACATCTCCGCCTCGGTGTTGCAAGACATCCGTAACCCGATGATCAGCAGCAATCCAGAATCCTTGACCTAGTTGGGGGAAATAGAAGGCGATCTCGAAGTTCGAAACCCGAACAGCTCCAGCCCCCAGAAGCTCGCATACGCAGGCAGGATTCATTTTGTCAGATTGCTCAAAAGATGCTAGAGCCTTTTCTCTATACTTTGATCTATTCTCTTAGACCCTTAGTCCAGACTTTGGGTGTTGCTGGCGGTTCAACGTGAGACCAAGCCGCGAGATGAATTTGATCATCCGCATAGAAAGTGATTCGTCTTCGCTTCTGTACACCTTAAATTCCATTCCCGCATTCATCTAATGAGACACATCTCATGGGCTCTATCTCCCAGACTCCAACGGTTTTGGTAAGAGGGACGAATATTTCGCGAAGCAGAGACTCAAATAATCAAATTAACGCTGAGCAGGGGAAGCAAAACCCGGGCAAGCCTGCCGGGCAAAAAATAGCCCCCAGCAGACACCAACCAAACCCATGCAAGCCATGCTCACAACATACACTCCACACTCCTGCAAGCCCGCAGATCTGTATTTCCAGAGTCACCGAGAGGGGAAACCTGCAGCATGGGGGGCACGAGGAGAATAGGATGGAACAACGAGGTTTAAAATAATGAAGATAATCATCATCATCTCTCATCTCGCCCTCACTCCCAGTCTCCCACACAAAAAAGGAAACAAGTAATTTATCCCCCCGCGCAGAAAATGGAAATCAAGCACATGGCTTTGCCAGGGACAAATTCCCCTTGGGTACTCAAAACTGGAGATTCAGGCAAATGACACACGGCAACTGTCCCTACACGAGTCGCGAAAGTATCCGTACGGAGCATTTTCACACAACTTTGTGAAAGTTAATAGAGGATAAACTCCGCCGCCCATCGGTGAATTGATTGTGCTTATCCGTACCCAGGGACGTGGACGATGATAAACTTTACGTACCTGTCTCGGGTACTGCTCTCTCTCTCTCTCTTCCCAATGAGGAAGAAAAATGGGCAAAAGTGCTTCGCTGATTACTTGTTTCGATGTTGGATACCCAGACCAGGGCGGGCGGGAAATGAATGGCGACAGCGGCTGATTACGAGATGCATCCGAGCTTCTACTAATTCCTTTCCCCATCCCGCTGAGTGAGCGAGCAAACGAGATGGGATGCTGACGATGACACCCAGGGTCGCGGGGACCTTCGGCCATACCGCTGGGGCGGGTTCATGAGAGCATCAGCTCACTCAGCCGATGACTTTTAAGAGTGTTAATAGATACTACCACGACGGATTGACAACCCGTGTCTCACATGATGTGCAAGTTGTGTGATGTACTGTAACCCGAGGCTCATTATTCCCCTTCAGTGTCATTTCTCATCGAGATATTATTATACACTCTCTTGTTTCATGCCCCCCGGTGCCCGTGAAATGCCAAATCTTTATAGCCTCTCTCCATTCGCCAATCCATGCGTGAATGTCAAGGAGAAGTCCAACCATGTCCATGCTTTATCGTCGGGTCCTTCCAGCGGCCGCTCGCACGTACAA